TTGCAAATATCTCAGCAACGTTGTGGTTGTATTTCGCTTAGTAACCTGCCATGAAAATTATAGAAGGCAGAAAACAAAAACGTTAAACATATGTGTTTATTGTTAACACTATTTTTTGGACTTAGCTCGAATATTACTTACCACATGTTGTTCAAATCACAATTGCGCTCAATTTCTTCATGGCAAGGATGGATAAAAATAATTTTGGAAGGATTCTATTCTTATAGGATTCTTCGCTTTGTGCCAGTGATAGTGTTTTCATAGAATAGTGAAGTCCTCGTTCTGAGGTTGTTTTATATGAGCGTGAATGTCGAAGACGTAGGAGTAAAATTGGTAGTTGAACTTATGCGTTGCACTTTTTCACATGGAGAACATTTTATATGTTCCTTGCGGAGTCAAACATTTTTACTGGCGAGGTCTCGTTGGGCGTATCAGTAACAACCATCTTCTGTGGATTCAGGCACTACTACCGCTATTCTGCTCTTTTGGATTTTCTTCCACGCATTGCTTTCCATGAATTTCTCTTTGCCTTCTTATTTCTTTCTCTTACGTGTTGAATTAGTCATTCGTATTGCTCATTGACTGTACATAACAGTTTCTTGTCAGAAGTATGAGAGAGAAGTAAAAAAAAAACATATTTGTAAACTTTCGATTTTTCCATTGTATCTTTCTTACCTTCCTAGAAGAAAAATTTCATGGTTAAAATGGCTTGTCCAAATTTCGCGTAAAACTTTGGAGCATCAGCAAAATGAGGTAGGCGAAACCTCTAGTTGACTACGGATGTTGTCAATTTTATTATACTACTCTTCGACGAGTTACCACGCTTAGTGTTAACAGTTCTGAAACTACGGGTTACCTGTAATTAATCATGGTCGTCATCTTGAATACAGAAGCTTCGCATTGTTCCGTTTTACTGCTCGACGCGGGTCCCGATGTGAAGTATTCACACGATTTAGTTGGGCCATCATCAGTCCAGATGTTGAAGAAGCAATTTCTTTATGATGTACTAGATTACCTCGATCTCAAATTCGATGTGGTTTGATGTTGTAGCGTAAGGGTGGTGATTGGCAGATTCTTAGTCCATATTTCCACAATTGGTGCTCATCTTTCCAGCCGTAAACGTCCGATTCAGGTCACCAATCTTTCGAAAGCATGGGATAAATTTTCCGAGGAAAAATCATTTGCTAATGTTATAAAATATGTTTGGAGGACGGCTTCCTGTTGTTTAAAATGTTTGGTGCATCATTCTTTGTGGGATTGAAATAAAAATCGGTTTAGTACGGTATTATTACACTTTTTACTAGCTATTCTGCTGCAAGATGGATTGTGGGCATGAAAAGAAATCATTATCAGTTGACAATCTCTCAATAGGCGTTCTGTATAAAAAGCCGTGCCGGCTGAGGTTAACTTATTCGAGCGGTGTTCCACTGAAGAAAATTCGACTCGATGGGATGGGACGCCGAAGACACCAAGTCGAGAAGAACGACTATAGACCATCGACTCGGACCATCGGCGGCTCCGAGGAAGACGGAGGCGTCGAAACGTTAGCAGATTAAAGTTGTGTAGCAACATCGTGTGAGCTGAACAATGCAAAGGAATTTGTTGATTATTCACGTCGACGTTAAGTGGAAGTCGGTTTAGTTCATTATCATTCCTTATCCTGTTATCTTGCATTGTTAGATCTTCAATAAAAATTCCAATGCCTGTGTGCGTACGTTGTTCAGTAACTACGCTGGATAAGTAAAAGTAGGTTATCACCGCAGGCATTCCAAATTTGGGCAATAAAAATGAGTTTTAAAATTTTGTTATCTTATAGCTCAGTACTCAGCAATCGTGGATTAGATAAGTATTATAAGAACGTTGTGTTTTGTTTCTAATGGTTTTGACTAACAATTTGCCGGGCCTTGCCGTGGCAGCTGGGTATACTCATGTTTAGTTTTTCTCACATTCTGAAATTAGACATGAGGCTTATTTGTTGAAATTATCTTCGAACCTGCTCCACTTTCCTTTCACTTGTGCACAAGCGTTTGATCATGTTGACGTGGAGTACATAATCTTCTCACGAGAAGGACAATCGGGGGCTTCAATGCGTACATTTGAAAACAAGATATGCAACTCATTTGCGCTGAAAATGTTGAAACAGTCCATCGCGTAAATTGTCATACGCCTCAAGTCTAGTTCACGTTTACTTTCGGTTAGAATTTGACCTTTCTTCCCCCATCTTGGATTATTTGACATAATCCTTTGAATCCTCCCAACGGTTTACCGCCACATCGTGGCAGGGAGGTATTCCTGCGATGTACAGTGGGGAGATTCGTCCCCACCGCAGGGTCTTCCAAGCTGGGAAGGAGTCCGGCGTTTCCATCAGAAAGCCTAGCTAGGAGTAAACTAATATCAGAATCTACCACCGTCCTGGTATCAAAGTCGGGTGGTGGCAAATCTCCCTCTGATCCACAAAGGCTGCGACTGCCTGTAGCGGTGACAACCTGGGGCAGACTTTGGCCAGGTTGTCCTAGGAATTCCAGGGAGCCACAATGGGTTAACCAACAAATCTCCGAAAAATGGTGATTGTGTTGGGGCCTGCACAACTAGTGAGGACGGGCCGTTCAAGTGTCAAGTAAGTAATCCTTTGAATAGTCCGCATATAAGGGAAATCCATAGCCATCCTGTTGGTCATGGAGAAGCATATATCAATGTAATTTATTAACAGTATTATAGCTGAATACGTTGTTAGTTTTTTCGTAGTCTTAATTGAATTATTAAGATGTTTTGCCCTAAGTAAAACGTGTGTTACGGTAGGAATAAGGAGTTGAACACAAAAATGTGGAAAGTGTCGACCTCTTACCAAACCAAACATTATTCACATGAGTCGGTCATTTTGTTGCAAAATTATCTGTCACCTGTATCACCTGTAGTCCCGTTGGTCGTCAGGTGACTCGAGCGGGCGCCAGTAAATCTTCCATTTTTTCCTATTGCGTGCAAGAGTAGCCCAGTGGGTTCTGCTCGCTCTAGGGGCCCGTCGAGCATCATATCTTTCTTCAAGGCTCTTTGTGAAGAACTCTGATCATCGGGTCGGTGGTCTTCCTGCAGTAGGTTTGACATCCCGAGGCATCCAGTCACCAACGGGTTTTGTCCATCGGTGGTAATTCATATGCCTTGCGTGGTCCGCTCACCTTATCTTCGACTGTTTGGCGTACAGAACGGCATCTTTGATTTTTGATTGCTCACGTAAATCGGAGTTTCGGATCCATTCTTTCACTTGCTTGACACATGCTTCGGTGCTTCGGTGGACGATGATACTTCAAATTATCTACAAAGAAGAGATTTGTTTATTCATAGACTGGATGGCTGTTGCAAAAACAACTAGTTTCAATCTCAAGAAATTTTTAAAACGAATTTGATAATGACATATTTTAACACTGTCGTGACCACGAATGCAACAACCTATCAGTAGCTTTTTTCACCTTCTACTAAAATACACTTCGTTGTTCAGGGAAGCGCATGTGTTGATGACTCAACTGAGAGGCCTGTATGTCGGAATTGTGGCAAAGAGGATGAGGTATACCTTGTTCAGGTTTGTGATTTATCTAGAATGTATTTCTTCTTTTGTGTTTAATCCTGTCTTTAGGTGCCACGTGTATTCCGATATTTAACAGCAGAGCTAGCTGCAATGAATATCAAAACTCATCTTAGCATAAATGAGCCATCTAAGGTCATTAGGATGTGATGTTTTGATTATTTCCTGCTGTTTAGAATTGTTGTTTTATTTACATACTAATATCGTCATTGCTATTATGTTAACGGTAATGTAACGACACTTCTGATTTTGTTTGTACACTTGTTTTCATAGTTAATAATCTTGTTATTTTTCATGTTGACACTCTTTGTTCACTGTTGTGTTTGTTTTACGCTGTATAAAGGATAAAGTTCTCGGCGTTGATCAATCCCTGAGGGATGCGCCGTGCATTCGCCTTCACTAAATATCGTTGGAGGTGACTGAATGCATATCTGACCTTTACAATGGCTCGCGCTGGCCTACCGATGTGTATCAAGCCAGCGCGGCTATCCTCCCAGACAAATCTGGTATCAATTTTCCGACTCCGGTGGGATGGAAGGCTTGGTAAGACACGGGCGGGGGGGGGGTCGATTTCATGTGCTTGTCGCAGGGCGCCTCCGACCACTACGCCACATGCGCACTTGCACTAAATAAGTATCCTTATTTACCGTTTCGGAGCACAAAGAACTCCGTCGTTGAAGAGGCCGTACAGCACACCTTTCGTTGCTGGTTCACTGTGGAAGTTTTCCAATTGGTACACGATTTGACTTGTCAAGAAAATCACCAGTCGATATAGCAGAGCTATCCTTCTGGTGTTTTATTACACGGCGGGTTTTACGTGTTCTAATGAGCTACAGCAGTTACTCGTCGTCCTACAACGCTCACATGTGGAAGTCGTTTGTTCCATCCTCAAAGATCTGTGGACTTATGATTGCCAACTTTATAGCTTTTTGAGCGTAGTGTTCTCTGGAGCCCTTGTATAACCGTGCTAGGACTCTATGAAGACTGCAGTATAGGCACGTGCTTCCGAGGCTGAATGTGGAATAGACCACAAGAGGATGAAAGTGTCCTTTAGGGTAAGCAGCTACACGGTGGGTCTACGTGTTAATGGCTTATATCACCATTTGCATTCGCATGTGTGAACCATTCCTTGTTCATTAATTCGTAAGCGTCGCCATATTCGAATGAAGGTACCACCATGGGCAGACGAGTGCACGAGGAAGAACGAATGGAATATGTGGTGAGGTCTGCACTACTCGTGAGGTGCACTAGTCATCCAAGTATCCAACCTTCCGTTGGTATGTTGTTCAGAATCTAATTGTGTGGCAGAAAAACGAGTATGATGATGAAACGGTGCTTCCAGAGTCTCCATGAGAGCACGACAGATCGTAATTGCTAGGGGCAGGCGTGAGCCAGTGAAGAGAGAGTGTCAATAAGGAACCGTTCCATAACGGATAAGGTCTGGCTCACGCAAGCACCTCTTGATTTCTCTTCACCGACGATATCTAATCTCCAGGTTATCGATGGCGTCAACACGAGTGGTACGTTGACATGGTGAAGGCGACGTTCAGTAGAATTCCCATTCATAAAAGATGACGATTCTTCCTTTAATTGGTGTCGTCGTAAAGTTTCAGACGGCCTGTGGTGAGACTTGGTATAATTTTTCTCTACGATTTTTTGAGTCACTATTGTATACATGCTAAATCAGGCCAATTATTGCTGTCATTTAGATCAATTTAGTCACTTTCTATTGTAGTATTCTGTTGTTCTTCTAGAACCAGTTAGGGTGTTAAGGGCTAAGTCATAAAGGTTGAAATTAATATGAGAATATGCTTAGTGTAGTGTCCAGTGACACATCTGGTAAAAGACCACCCATTTAGCTTTCTTCTACATCACGTAACATTACGTACTGTATGGATTCAGCACTTCTTGGTAATCGATTGCGTGATTTCAATAAAACTCATCTATTCCGTAACAGATCAAAAAAGCAGCCATACTTTTAAAGGAACTCTAATTTTGGGATAATTCTTAATTCTGAGAGTACTTCTTACATAAAAACTCGAAAGACCGACTTTCTATGAACCTCGGCATAAATAGTTGATATATTTATTTATGTGATCTTATAAACTGATCTTCTTAAGCTGACGCGAGGTTGGTACAGATCTTCGTTGTCGTTGTCGTAGTCGTTGTTTTTGATGTTATTGAACGATGGCTGACGTTTCGGCGACTTCGCCTTCCTCAGAGCCTGGACGTACTTTATGTTAGAATACTTTTTATTATTCGGTGGAAAAGAAGGTTAAAGTATTAGTGAAGATCAAACTTTCAAATAGACGCCATATTGAACAGAAAGGTCACTCACCGTGATGTTATGTGCGGGACTGGCCCACGCGTTTTTTCGTGGAGTCGCGAGCAAGACACACCCCGGGGTCAAAATATCATTTTAAAATAGGGCGGCAGGTTATGTGTGATAGTGAGGCTTTCGTCTTTCCGGTGTTAAGCTGATGCGTGATTCAAGCGAATCAAAAACATCAACGCGCAAAACTCTTGAGGCGTTTTGGATAAATTTCAAAAATCCAAAAATGAACTGGCGTCTATTTGAAAGTTTGATCTCCATTAACACTTTAACCTTTCTTTTCCACCGAATGATAAAAATATTCTAATATAAAATACGTTCAGGCTCTGAGGAAGGCGAAGTCGCCGAAACGTAAGCCATCGATCAGTAACATCAAAAACAACGACTACGACAACGACAACGAAGATCTGTATCAACCTCGCGTCAGCTTAAGAAGATCAGTTTATAAGATCACATAAATAAATATACTTCTTACATGTTTATTTGTTTATTTATTTGAGCTAACCCCACATAATGCAGGAATCACAGCATTTCTTCCATTCGGTTCATTGTTTCGCGTTATCACTCATAAAGATCTCCCAATTTGCGAAGGGATGCTGCTCGAGGATTTTCGATTTTCTCTATGAATGCTATTGAATGTCGGCCGATTCTTTTTCTGTTGGAATCTTGGGAGCGCCGTTGAACCGTCCCAAGTACCATAAGTTGCCATCACTCTTTATAACTGACCGAAGATGTAGGGGAGGCTTAGTTGACTTGAGAAGGGGTCGAACCATCGACCATTCGTCTATCGAACTTTAACAATGCGCTTAGCACACCGATTTTCCATTTAGCTATTATCTATGAGTGTTTGTTCAGTTCTAATAGGCTTTTACACCTATTAATATTGTGCTTAAATTCCATGGATATTTTTATTCATTACTTTTTTTACACACGTACGGCTTTTTCTGACATCTTTGGTGAGGATCCCAGCAGTTTCCGGATTCCATTTCCTTCTTCGCATCAATCATCCATGAAAGCCTTCGAGCTTTTACCTGTAGCTTCGGCTGATGCTTGACGATTTTTATTTTATCATGGGTATCGTTGAATGCTGGTCGACTCTATTCTACTTGGAGTGCTGAGATAGCCAAGCTACAGAGTTCCACTCGGATTGCAGAGAGTAAAGTTATCTAAAAGAAGTCCAGTAGCAATTTCTCGACCCCGGAAATATGAGAGGCTTGGCGATTTCGAGGCGAATTTGAACCAGTACCGTACTCGTGATGGTCGGCATCATTACTACTGTGCTACCTGCTTCCTTATTTATTATTTGCATTTATTTGGCTGCAATGATGCTGAGATATTTGCAAAACTCCACACCGCAGGTGTATGCAGTGCGGAATGAACGCGCTATTGTCCTTTCCGGGGAGTGGTGAAGGGCCCGCATGGTGTAGTGGTGAACGTGTTACTCTCCGGAAAGGACAATAGCGCGTTCGTTCCGCACTGCATACACCTGCGGTGTGGAGTTTTGCAAATATCTCAGCATCATTGAAGTTATATTTCGCAATATACCCTGCCATCGAAAAGAGTAGGGAGTAAATAAAAACGGCTAAGATAGTAATGGCTGCTTTCAAGTTTATATGAGCGTCTTTTAGCTTATAATGAACTTTACTATTGAAAGCAAATTGTTGGAATCTTTAGATCTTTGTCAACCAGACACAGCTTTCTCGTTCTACTAGGATAAAATTTTGCAGCCCAGAAAGTATTTTTCGTTTTCCTCATTGGGGTCAATAGTTCCGTGCTACCCACATTTAAATCAGCGCCTGTTGCGAGGATATTGGTATATATGCAAGGCTTTTGGGTGCAGGGCGATCTTGATATATAAGAACCTAAATTCTCTCTATTAAGAACTCTGTATGATAAGTCCGTGTGTATAGGCGAACTCAAGTTGAAATACCATCGCCATTCAGTGATATTCGTAGCTCTAATAGCTAACAAATTCAGTCATTTAGTCGTTTAAACGTTCTGATCGCTGAAGTCAAAGAAACAATCGAAATAGAATATTTCACAAGTGCCGAGGGCAGATAAGTTCGGCCTTTTACACCAATTCTCGATCTGTTGTTCGACAAATTGCCCGCCCTCGATACTAAAGTTGTCATCCAGGCACAACCTGAGTCACAGGAGAGAAAATCTCTCTCTGTCCCATCCTGAGCGGTTGGTGACTAGCTTAACTGGAAACCTGGCAACGCCAAGTAAATAGGTCTAACTTGAGTTTTCAAAGCCAAAAAAAAACGCTCAAACAACAGCGACTATATCATTGAGGAAGAAGTTCATCAATCTTCAATTTCGACAGCCGAGTAGACAACCAAAACAGACCACTCGTGAGTAACCGTTATGGGACAACACATCTATTTGAAAACGTGTTGAGGTCTACGCGACGAAGACGGGACATCTAATTATCTAAGTAAGACAATGAACACTGAGGAGTTATGGAGTGCTATGCAGACAAACGTAGCCTCGATTACCGTGCTTATCTCATAAACGTAGAAACTCTCTCTCTGCGTTGACCAATTCCTGAGGGATGCATCATGCACTCGACATCCTCAAGCATCTTTAGAGATAACTGAATTCATATCTGCCCTATACAGTGATTTGCGGTGACCTATCGATATATCGAGTCAGTGCTGCTATTCTTCCAGACAAGTCTGCTACCAATTTACCGACACCGGAGAGATGGCGGACTTGGTGAGCTTAGGGCACAGAATGGAACGAGGAACACATATATATTGCAGGGCAGCTCCTAACTACTACACTGCACCGACTACTCATATACGTGGGATTCTTCAGCTTGTTCATCTGTCGATGGAAATGTCTATCATCTTCGTTTTTCAGCGTAGGTATTCTGCGGAGCAGGTGGCTACTGGTTCAACAACCGCTTTTGGCGTGCTTTCCCTACCCATGGCTTCATTTAATAGTCAAATCGATTTCCACTGCGTTAGCCATTTTTTTTAAACGGAACGCGATTATGCGAATTGGTCTCTAAGAGAGAGAGATAGAGATAGAGAGAGAGAGAGACTAGCGGTGGAAACATTCCCGCCATCTCTCTCAGCTGTCGCCGTTATTCGTGGAAAGGTAGCTCTCTTACAAATCATACGTTTCCTTTCGGGTTACTAGTTTGTTTGATAACGTTCTCCACAATGGCTTTCATCGCTCTGACGTTCTCCATTTTCTCAATTGTCCTTCAAAACGAAGAAGTACCTCTACTGGAAAACCTGTGTTTAAGCCTCTTACTTCAGCACGACATAGATACTAATTTCGTCCTGTGATGAAAAATTGGCTATTCAGCACTGCAAGCTTTATGGAAAGGGTTTTTATACCATCCATATGACATTCTAAGACGAGTTAGGCGAGACAACAATCCGAGCGCCGACTATCCGACTTCTAGTCGATTACCATGACGACGAAAGTGCCTGTATATCATCATGCTCATCGTGGGAGTGTACTCTACAGTATCATTTCATCGCATTAATTTTCTTTTACAATAGTAGCGCATTTCATTATTGGCGCTCGAGTATGGAAATCTCTGCCTACAGCGTAAACGATGGTGAAAGAGAAATAAATGAATAATGTGGACCAGAAACTAATTTCGGACTTATCCACATTGTTTCCTTGTCGATTATTCATCAACAGCACATAACTGACTTACGCATGAAAGTCGCATACTTGGATGGACCGCCCCACCGGTTTTGCGAGCCCCAGCATAGCTTCATTTTTTCAGGCATTTGTTGGTTTAGCCGTTGTGGTCTTGTGGACCACAGAGAGATATGCCAAAATGCGACTATTTTGATACCGGGATCGTGGAGGATCCTGGTATTGGTTTGCTCTTAGCCGGAGTTCCTAATGGAAATGCTGGACTCGTTCTCAGTCTGAGAGACCATGCCAGAGGGGGATGAATCCCACCACTGTACATCGAAGCCTGACACCCAGGAACACCACCTAGCCGAGATGTTCGTTGATAGAAAGCTCTTAAAAACATCGCTCACATAGATATTACGAATTGAACATGAAAACGATGGTTGAACAACAGAGGAGAAAAACAAATTTAAATAACAATGTGATATATTATGTCTTTATCACTTATGGGTAGCTCGAGAAGTGCCCGTTATCATGTCCTCGAAAGTCATAAAGCTAAAAAATAAGCTCTCGGCGTTGATCAATCCCTGTGAGATGCGCTATGCATTCTACTTCATTGCACATCGTTTAGAGGTGATTGAATGCATATCTGGTCTTTACAATGACTCGCGATGGCCTACCGATGTATCGAGCCAGTGTTGCTATCCTCCCAGACAAGTCTGGTACCACTTTGCCGACCCCTGAGAAATGGAGGACTTGGTGGGCCATGGGCACGGGGATCGATTCTACGTGTGTGTTGCAGGGCGTCACCGACCACTGCACTACACGTGCCCTTCGAAGGTCATATAAAAAATAAAAGTGAAAATGGACTACAAGAGATGAGAGGTAAGACACAGATACTTCTTGCAGTCATTCTTGATTGTTAGTTCACGATCGATGAGAGTTAACGGTTGGTCACATTTTGTGTCTTCAGCCTATGATCTGCAAAATCGTGAAGTGACCTTCAGCAACATTTTCACTTTGTCCTGGCTCCTTCAGATCTGTTTTCTACCTTGGATCTTTTACCTTTTCGGATATGGTCTCTCAAGGTTTAGAAAAACCGCCGCCTGTTTCTGGCTTCGGTTCTGAGGAGCTCATGGGACGAAGCGTTCGGTGGTGATGATGGTTGGTTGTCATATTTGCTGTGTGGGCAGCGCTTGCAACTCAACACTCAAATATTTAGTGCAGTATTTGTCCCTCCCGTATCCTGAACAACTTCAATCCCATCGATATCGCAGCCTTTCGTGTCAGTTATCGCTAAAACTTCTGAACTACTAGTCGGACAAGTGATTTCTGACGAGAAGTGATGGAACGGGCTAATTACAGGAAAAGTTCCCTCAGCAACCTTTTTCTTTCCTATAAATCGTTAGATTTGCCATGTCATCTTTCACGAGAAGTAGAAATGTAGACAAAATGGTCTACGCGTTCGATTTCTTCGTGGGCTGTTGGTAGATCACTCACACGTGGCGCTATTCTCTGCCCATTTTCGCCATTTGGCCATCCTCACCTCCAGCTATCGACAGGTTTTATTACCTTTCTCCCTATCCATTCCTCCCTGTCTTCCTCTCTCTTTCTGTCTGTGTCTATATATCTCTATCTCCCCGTCTCTTTCTTCCCGTCGCTTCCATCTTCTACGATAGCTTTTATAACTATGCTTTGTGTTTCGTAAGGACGACCTGCAGTCTTGTACGGTAGCATCTAATATTGAATTAGGGCTTCGTTCCCTAAATTTCTTCAAGTTTCAATTTCGTAGAAGACTCACTACGTAGACATTTCCATCGACAGCACTTTCACTGACCGCCATGGCAGTGGTTTTTTTTGCAAAATCGTTTCTCTTCACCTCACTGGAGTAAATCGATCCCATTGCGTCATGTTGCTTCCGAAGAGAGAATCAGACGTGATTCATGGTGTCTTTCTTGCTCCAAGGGTTCTTTCTTTTTTAGTTTCGTCCATCTGTTAATCGACTTCTCAGTTACACGCAACGCTGACGAGCATGGTGTTCGACGTACTGAAAGACATGGCCCGATCCTCGGACACCGTACCGTACCTCAAGCCGCACACTCTACCAACAGAACTCGACATGGTAACGATCTCTGCAGTTATAACTTTATTCTCTATGACTAAAAATCGATTTAGACTCGTAAAAACAGGCTTAAAATGTGATAAGATGTTTGATTCAGGAAAACTGGTAATTTAAGGCGGTTCTATCCACATTATGTTTGAGGCAGAAGTAACAAAATTTTTTTCGTAGTAAATCCCAAGAGTGACTTTCGTTTAGCCCCCGCATTGATCAATAATTCATTGTTTTTATTGAAGAGCAAACTTGAGGTTGTTATTACAGCATTTATTAGTGATACACAATAGATGATGTTTCGACGGTATCGCCTTCTTCGGAGCCTGGAAAGGGCAAATTGCCACGTAAGCTACTCCTGCACTTTCACAATCCAGGCAAAGAAAAACTCATTACATAGGTTTAATTCGCATAGTTAACAGCTTATTTTAAAAACTCACTGCCTTGTACTTTATAAGTCCTCCATTCTTTGGTGGAGACCAGCTGCACAAGGTTTTACATGGGCCAGGAATGTGCTTCGCTCAGGTCAAAAAGGCTGAGGAATGACGCGACTTTACGCGTGATCACAAGGCACTACCCGCTGCTGATCATTTCTGAATTTTCCAAAAAAGAAATCGAAGAATGAACCGCGAGGAGCGCCCTATCACCATGGGTGACCTTGCGCCATACCCAACCTGATTTTTTTGACCTGAGCCAGGCACATTCTTCACCCATTAGGGCTCTGTGCGACTGGCTTCCATCAGATAATTGAAGGACTTATAATGTACAAGAAAGTGAGCTTTTAAAGGAAGCTCTTTACTAGGCAAACGAAATCTATGTGTGAAGTCTTTTCTGCTTGGGTTTTGGAAAATGTTTGTATGAGTAGACTGTGCGTTAACTTAACCTTTACAGACTCTGAAGAAGGCGAAATCACCGAAAAGTGAGCTATTGTGGATAAATATTGTAATAACAACATCGTGTCTGTTCACCATGAAAAACAAGGAATATGTTTTCGATTAAAAGGAAATCATTAACGCTAAGTAATTGTCCTCACTTTTATTTACTTCTTGTTCCTTTTTATAATGGCTGGGTATTACGTGAAAGAAAACCATAATGATGCTGCGATATTTACAACGCTCCGAACCGCCGGCGTCTTCGATGGGTATCGAACACAGAATTACGCTTTCGGAGGCTAACGCGTTCACCACCGCACCAAGATCAATCCCATTGACGGGTGATTGCTGATAACGTCTATAGGTCAATAACACAGCTGAGAGAAAAGCGAAACGAAGGACCCGTATTATGTGATCGTGAACACGTCAGCCCCGGAAAGGGTAATAGCGTGCTCGGTCCTTACTATACCCATCTGATGTCCGGAGTTTTGCAGATATCTTATGGTTAACCATTTGTTACTTGGTAAAAAATATCAGCTGCAGATTCGAGAGCGCTGTCAATGTCTGGTACTTTCCGACGACCAGCTGCGTCAAATGATGGTAGCTCTTGAAAAAAGCATGGATGAGGGTCTGGCGAAGGAAACTGGTGGGATTGCTTCACTTGTTGTACTATCATTTCAACTGTCTCTCTAACTTTTCGAAGCAAACTTTCAGAACTATAGGCGGATGAAAAATATCCGTACTGTGTTTGTTTTTATAACTATAACATAGTAATAAATTTTAATAACTATAAATAAAACTATCTCTACTTGCAGCTTCTACAGCTGCTGTTAAAATGCTGCCGTCATACGTGCGGGCTGTTCCGAATGGGACAGAGCGTGGGCAGTTCCTATCGTTGGATCTGGGCGGTACAAATTTCCGTGTTCTTCTCATTCGACTCAGCGGAAAAGAAGCCGAAATGACTGGAAAGATTTTCCGAATACCGGAAAGCGTCATGTGTGGAACTGGTGAAGCCGTGAGTTCATTTCGGACATAATCACCGGGTTCTTTGGAAGTTATTCGGTAAATAATACACGTCTGTACTTTTTCGGATTACAGTAACGCATAGCATTGATTTATTATACATAGAGCTAAAAATGAACAAACGCTGAGTACTCTTTTTTGTCAGAAAGTTTTGTAACCATTATTATATGGTTATTGATATTATTACTTACTTGGAAAGTTGGATGGCCTACCTTCACTGGTTACGTGGGTCCCAGCACGCTTTCCGTTTTTTCAGAGTTTTGCTGGTCTAGACATTATGGTTCTCTGTAGTTCCGATGTCAGCCTAGCGAAAATCTGCTCCAGTTCGTCACCACCACAGGCAGTCGCCGCGTCTGTGGATCAGAGGAAGATTTGCCACCATGCACTAGTTTCATGCCAAGACGGTAGTGGATCTTCTGAGCTTGGAAGACCTTGTCGGTAGGACGAATCCCATCGCTCTACATCGTAGTCCGACACCTAGGAACACCTTTCAGCCACGTTGAGACGGTAAACCGTTGGGAGGACTAATATTATTGTTTTAAATGGAATTTCATACGTTTTCTTACAGTTTGAATAGTTAATCACTTTCGTACCCTGCTGATACGCACTCGTTTGAAAGCCCATAGAGACGGAAATCGTTACCATTCCCTTGGAATACGAATTTCCTGAGAATTCAACAATGTAGGAAGTTCATGTGCTTAGTAAAGATAAGGATGCTACGACTGTCATTGTGTTGGCTGCTGACATCAGCAGAACACACACACATCCATCCCTGAATAAAGTATTTCGTTATGAATAAATAATTATTAGGTTCTTTGTAGAACTCCTATATTACAAAACGATAAGAGAATTGCCGAATGATGAATATATATGTTGGACCAAAACTCCGAAATCAACATGTAACTAACATATTTGTGATGACATGTATTGGGTTCCGCATTTCATAAAAAGTCGACAGCTCTCCAAACACAAATTTTGGGCTAAATTTCGTCAGAGGAGATCTATTTTCTGTAAAGGATAAAGGACAAAGCTCTCGGCGTTCGTCAAAATACTTAAGGGATGCGCCATACATTCGACTTCATCAAGCATCGTTAGAGGTGATTGAATGGAAATCTGCCCCATATAATGGAATTCGCATGGTCTACTCGGTGTTGCTGTCCTCCCTGACAAGTCGGTACCAATTTGCCGACCATAAAGGGATAGAAGGCTTGGTGAGACTGGACCGCGGACTCGGGCCATAAGTATTCCAGAGCACCTCTAACCACTGAGCTACACGGCGCCACTATATTCTTTGTATCACAATTTGTAGACGACTTTTAGGAGAGAGTCTGTTCGTTCACACGAGTCTAACAGTAATATCTCGTTAACTGTACAGATTAGTGCCTATATTGCTTAAAAGCGCCTTGCAATACACACGTGCTCGGTGGTTGGATCACGCCCTTTGGGACAACCAAGATGCGTGAAGTGCATAGGAGCGACCGTTGTCCTACCAGCTCTCGTTGTCCAAGAAGTGCTCTAGTTCTGTATAAGAGCACTAGTTGGTTGTTATAATAACTGCATTATGGAAATACAACTTTTCTATCAACCCTCTTACATCCTCACACAATGACGGACTGATGAGACTCTACTGTTTTAATAAAGCTGCTTATTGCCGCAATGAAGTGGGTAATGAAGTTACTTGATTAGGACGACAAAGGCGTACTAATTGGTGACAAATCCGTGTAAAGTATTTGTTTTACAAACGAAATTTTCATCTATTCATGGAATACCGTTGTAGCAGAGACGATGCTAAATGAGCTTAACGAAGCGCGAAGAAGAATAAGATAGCGCAGAAATCGGAAGCATACCCAATTTACGAGGAATCCCTAACGAGATGAACAGTTCGAACTGAATGTTTTTCTGATTACAGAAACCTATGTGTACCATGACCATGGTCGTTCAAGTCGAGTTCAAGCCTCTCAGAGAAACTACCGACGAAGTAACAAAACCGAAACTCTACAGCAGAGATGTGAGTTGATGCGTCACGTCGAAACTCTGTGGATCACACACAGCGCTTCAACGTTCTCTTCTGAGATGTAGTCGGTACGCAGGACGTCTAATTGTGTTACAACTACAAAACGGTAGAACGGGGCTACAAAAGTTCTTCCATTTTCGAAACCTTAGAGAATGCTAATCTAGCGAATCACATGTGGGTTGGTAACATAATGAGAAAAGCTGGCGAAGGATGGACTTGAAGAATTATGTGGATTCCAAGAACATGAAAGTGTTCTTGCAGATATCATCGCACTTAACCAATCACGTCCGTGGACGACGATTCTGCGAGAAAGATCGGAATGGGTAATGACCTAAGGCACGCGATAGTAAAGACGGACTATACAAGTATCTACATAGGTATCTATACCGCTACGACACTTTGGTTTCCAGTTGTTCCCTCTTCCCCTTCTGAGTTAGTTCGAAGAACTTTTCATCTCTTCGATTTTTGGGCGTCGTTCCACATCGCAACCAATTTCGACACCTTTATATCTCCTATTCCCGTGATACAGTAGTTGAGATCCATTATAGCAGTTGTAAACGGAAGAGTAGTAAATTATTCATCATGTATGAAGCTTTACATTCGATAATAGGGGATGCCAGTTTTCTGACAACTCCTTATAATTCCTTCATAATTAAAGGATGGCTTGAAGAACTGACAATTTGACAGACTTATACCATAGAATCTTCCCAGCGGTTTACCGCCTCATCCTGGCAGGGAGGTATTCCTGGGTGTCGGGCTACGATTTACAGCAAGGGGATTCATGCCTCTGGCAAGGTCCCCCAAACTGAGGAGTCCGGCGCTTCCATCAGGTAACCCATCTAAGCGTAGACTAAGACCATGAGCCACCACCGTCTTGGTATCAACCCAATCGCATGGTGATAGATTTTCCTTTGATCCACAAGGGTTGTGACTGCCTGTGGTGGTGACCTGGGGCAGCCTTAGGCCAAGCTGATCTTGTGACGCCGGGGAAACATAATGGCTAAATCAGCAAAACTCCGAAAAGTGGAGAATATGCTGGGACCTGCACAAGCAGTGAGGACAGGCCGTCCAAGTATCCAAGTATGGCAGAGAATTTGCTTAGTCGGTTTTATGTTTTTAGTCAAAAGTAAGTAAATTTTTTGAGCACAACGTTTAAAGCAATGGCGAAAAACTTTTTTGAGTGACTAATACAACCTTATAACCGTTTCTAAAAGCAAACTCTGTGGATACTCATTGTAGGTGAACACATCCAATTTTCTGCCCACTATAATTATAGTAGGCAGAAAATAAAAGTAAAGATTGTGACGCCCAATTTTGTTTAATTTCTTCTCCCACATGACACGTTTTCACACCTACTTTGCCGATCCCCGGCACTTGCATTCAATTCGTTTTCTCGCATCCGTTATTCACAAAGGTCTTTGGACTTTCCGTGTATGTTCGGCTGCAGCCTAAGCATTGTAGTCCTCATTATAAATGTCATTGAATACTGATCGAACCAATTCTCCATGCAGTCCTGAGATACCCACTTGAATTGCAGAGAGATAGCTTTTCACAGACAAATCTGGGCACCACAATTCACAGGGCAGGAGGAGTTTCATTAGCTCGGTCGGGGTCAGACCAGCAACGTGCTCGTGTTTAACGGGCATGCATTGTTACAACTGCGCCACCTCCTAAACGCAAAGAAATCGCTCTGAAGTGTACATATGCTCTAAAATCATCTCCTGAATACGTCATGTATCGAAACGTGAAACCGTATGATAAGCAATTTTTATGTACTATCAAAGGTATAGTAGAGGTTTTTTCGGACCATGAATCGTGCCATTATTGGATTATTTGATAAGCTATTGATTAAACAGAAAAAGAATGGCAAAACCACTCTATGCGGCAAGTCAAGACCGCTAAAAAGAAAATGCATTGAGATCAATGCAAGTTAACCCTCACCTTCTCAGAGGTGCATTGAATTCACTGCGTGTCTTCGAGAAAATGCTTAGAAAGTAATTAGATATCGAGTTTCAGTTCAAAACCTTGCTAGCGATGAAGATTCAATTCTTCAACCATGTCGATTCCATCTTGGACTATTTTCTTGGCAACCGTGCTAAACGATACAGTGGATTTCACTGAAATTGCCGATAATTTCAGCTTTTCGACCACATCGCCGATTGCATGGCGAAGTTCATGACTGAAGAAGGCGTGAATGACGTCGCGAAACTCCCGCTGGGCTTCACGTTCTCATTTCCGTGTGAACAAAATGGTCTAACAAGGTGTGCATTTCCTAGGTGAAATCGTCTTTACTCTTCCGAAATCTGTGAAAAATAAAAATTTTGAGCCGAAAATACTATTAGTATTGTGTAAAACTAGTGTGAGCGAATAATATTCTAATTCACAGGTACTGATCTTATCTCTGTGAAGTTAAAGTGAAGTTCAGTCTTATTCTAGACTTGCAAATACAGGTATTACCCTTCCATAGAAGGGAAACCTGTAATGCAATAATCCTATATGCTTACTTATATCAGCAAATATGCTTCTGTCAACCAATCGAACTATTTTTAAGCGCAAAACTAATAAATTGGACGAAAGGCTTCACCGCCAGCAATGTCGAAGGGGCCGACGTGGTCCGTTTGCTTCGTGAGGCTTGCCAGCGACGAAAGGTATGCTTGAAATCTTTGTTGTATGACAGCTGGTGAGAATTTATCGTGGCGAAGGGATTTGTGCTTTGATTCATTCTGACAGGCCTAATATTAGTGAAATTTGTTCAGGATATTGATATTGACGTCGTTGCCGTACTAAATGACACTGTCGGAACGCTGATGGCTTGCGCTTTTAAGGAGAACAACTGCCGCGTACGTTTCCACTTTTTCGAAAGGCACATTGGGTAAAGTCAAACTCGATGAGATGAAACAGCTTTGTCCTAGAGGTCATTAAATGTGTACCTGGCGAATATAGTCAATCGCGGTGGCCTGCTGATATGTCAACTCAGTGTTTTTATCCTCCCAGAGCTGTCTCGTAGCAATCGACCGACTCCGGATAGATGGAATACTTGCTGAGCTCCGGGTGGCAGATCGAGTCAATCACCATATGTGTGATCCACGGCGCATCTACGCCCACGTGTTCTCGACAGGGACGTCAATCATCTTCATTTGTCAGCGTTGGTATTCTGCGTGACAGTTGATCACTGGTTCAACAAGCGCTTTCAGTCCATGCCTACCACGTCACACAGAATTCAAATCTATATTCAGTGCGTCAGCTATTTTTATTCAAACAGGTAACGAATATGCGGATTGGTCAGAAAGAGATAGAATAACGCCAGAAACATTACTGCCATCGCCGCGATCTCTCTTTCTCCGCGGCCATTCGTTGAAATGGAGCTCTAGGATCGAACCAAGAACAAATACAGTGTGTATTGCAGGGCACCACCTCTAACCAGTGTTCCATACGCGCATCCTTATCTTGCATAGGATTGAGAAATATTAAAGTTTGTAACTACAATGTCGCGCTTATACATGCACATGTGTGGATGAACATATCCAACAAATCTACGAGAATGGTGGTTTTTATAGAATTGCCATATTTAAGAGTTAGAGAGTTGACGGTTTTAGTGATGGCTGTAAGCTATCGCTTTAAATGTGTAAAGGATATCTTTAAAGGTATGGTCTCTCAGAATTTTTCAATGCAACATGTAACTTTGAATTTCACTTTTAGGAGAAAATTGGGAGCAAAATTCGAATCTTTAAAGATTTTTGGTGCAAACAAAACCATTTCAAATTTCGATGATTCACAGGGGGATATATGTTTTGCCGGAGGGAACTTCTTTCTCAATCACTCGCTTCACTTTCTAAAAAATGGACTTTGAAACAACAAAAACGACTTGGGCGCTCCAAAAATGCGCAAAAAATCCGTAGTAGAATAAGAAGGTTTGACTCTTGAAGCCAGAGATTTGTTTGTTCTAGTGGTTTTTAATTCTCAACTAGTTAGGTTCACCGTGAACTGAGATTTTCGTTCAAAGTGGAAAGGTGGCATTTTTGAGAAAATTACTTAAAAATTCGTGCTCATCTTCGCATTTGTCTCAATGGAAATGGATCACAAGGATCCTGACACAAACCGAGGTCCTTGTTTTGCCGTTCTTGGCCAGGTTTTCTACTCTAACGTTGTTATAAGCAACCACACGGGGTAGGTAGCACGTGAACCCCCTGAAAGGGTAATCGTGGCTTCTAATCCCAAATGAGGTTCCGAGTTTTGTTCATATCTCAGCATCCTCGTGGTTGTATTTCAGACGACACCCTTTCATGAAAAAGACAGAGTGGGTAAACGTTGGGAAATGGATTCGTTCCAAGAGACCACAAATGTTGGTTTTTGCAGATCGGTGTTATTGTGGGAACGGGAACAAACGCTTGCTACATGGAGAAACTCGATCTCTTAGAAAAGATTGGCGACGAAATCAAGGGCGAAAATGTATCCGATGAGGTGAAGCATTTAAAAAATCTTGTTGATGTGGGTTAAGCAGCTAATGGTTTGGTTGTGTAATTATTCACGTAATCCTTTGTTTACTGTTTAGTTTCATACAGTAAACTTGTTATAGTCCGCAAGTCATTCTCAGTTTTTCCAGTTCACTGCTTCAATTTCTAGCATTAGGAATTTAGGAATTGTTCCTAAATGTTTTATTTAGGTCCCCAATAAAAAGAAAAGAAATGAAGGCGACTGAGCGAGATTTATAGTTTTGGTTTTGTCCTTCGGGGATCTACACACGCTTGAGCACGCGACGCGATAGAAGAGTTGTTTCCCTTCTTGAAGCGTATTAAAGGATAAATGGATAAACCTCTCGGCGTTGTTCAATCCCTGAGGGATGCGCCATGCATTCAACTTCAGAAAGTATCGTTGGAGGTGATTAAATGCATATCTGGCCTTTACAATGACTTACGGTGGCCTAGCGACGTATCGAGCCAGTGCTGGTATCCTCTCAGACAAGTCTGATACCAACTTGCCGACCCCGGAGGGATGGAAGGCAGATGGGGCACTGGAGTGGGGATCGATTCCACGTGTGTGTCGTAGTGGCGCCTCCAACCACTAAGCCACACGCGCCCTCAAATCATATTAATTGAAGTTGTTGGTCCTTGTGACTCATGGGATGCACAGCCGTGAGCTCTACTGCTCATGAGATTATCTATCCATCTCCTAGGCATCTCTCCTTGTCGGTTGCATATTCTTTCTAAGATTTTCTTTTATTTTTCTGCGGTTTACCATTCGTTGTTAACACATCCTATGGCATCATCTTCGAAAATCAGTGCTTTGCTGCAACCCAGCGCGCAAAGTGCTGTTAATTCAGGGAGTATGGAGTTTTAGATACACCGAAGTCATTGGTTTAAGAATCCAAAGCATGGAGTAGACAGGTTTTCTTGAGATAGAATTGCTGTACATAGCAGCATTAACTTCAGAGGACCATTCGTATTTACAATGGTAGTCACTCAGAATATGCTCATATAAATGTTTATAGCCAAACCCACCACGACGAAAGGATTGCGTCTCCAAACTTGCTGGCGAACTGGATTTTAGTGTAAAGGGTAGAGTGTTCATACCCTCAAACTGCATCAGTGGACGTGCAATTGTCCATGCTCAGAGGCGATGAGTTCTCTGCAAAAATAGGTTTCACTGATGTGATACATCTACGAGCTGTACACACGAGCTTGACGAAAAGCTCCTGTTGTTCCAACACTGAACCTTCTCATCCTGCGCCATTATAAAGGCGTACCTATTCTGGTGATCTCTATAAGGTTGAACATGATACTCACATATTTTTATTTCAGATGATCATCAATACGGAATGGGGGGCGTTCGGTGATGACGGTGTGATCGACTGGATTATCACTCCATTTGATCGGCAAGTCGACGCACTCAGTATCAATCCTGGGAAGCAATTGTGATTATTTTTAACCTTGTTAACTTATTTTCCAGACTGTTATCATTATTCTTTGACAGATTCGAGAAGATGATCTCTGGAATGTATATGGGCGAGTTGGTTCGGGTAGTGTTAGAGGCATTAGCCCAAGATGGACTACTCTTCAATAGTAAATTCGAAGCAATTTCACGCCATGGGTGCTTTCCAACGAAGTTCGTCTCCGAGATCGAAACGTGGGAACTTTTTTTTACCGCCCGCTTGTGATATTTGCAGAAAATGCGGAAAGTATATGAACTTACGATATAATCAAGTTGCTGGCCTCTTTCTCCTAGAGGTTCCAAGTGCATAATTTGCAATATTTTTGGTGCAGAAGATGCATTCTGATTTGTTCTGTTTCCGTTTTGATTTGATAATTGATTTTCCCTTCAGCGATTTGCTCGAAGATGATCTTACGTTTCAAAAGACCTTCCAAATCCTGGAAGATATTGGAGTTGAGAGCGTGTCAAGCGCTGACTGCGAAAACGTGGCCTATGTGTGTCGTGTTGTCAGCACAAGGTGAGTGTTTATCCCAACGAGCTCCTGAAAATTCGGTGGTCACCACTTTGTTTTGGTTTATTTGAAATCCAGGACACAGTTAGGGAGTGCTTTATCGTGGTTGATGTTCTGATAGCGTTTTGGTTCATCACCTTCAGAACGGCGTTGATTCGAGTTCATGTTCATCTACCGTGTTCCGAAAATTTCATGCGATTTGGTTGCTTGCTATAGACAATGAGCAAAAACACTCATAATCCTCAAAGTGGAAGTCGGTTTAAAATTCCTCACTATACTTGCTTTTTAGACTTCCACAATCTTAAGATTAGGAATGATATGAACAATGCGCTACTTGGCAGCGCCTTCCAAGCTGGGAAGGAGTCCGGCGTTTCCATCAGAAAGCCTAGCTAAGAGTGAACCAATAATAGGATCCACCACCATCCTGGTATCAAAGTCGCATGGTGGCAAATCTCCTTCTGATCCACAAGGGCTGGGATTTCACGTAGTGGTGAAGACCTGGAGTAGACTTTGTTCAGGCTGAGCTCTGCGTTCCAGGGAACCGCAATAACTTGACCAGCAAATCTCCGAAAATGGAGATTATACTTGGGTTCGCACAACGAGTGAGGATGGACCGTTCAAGTATTAAGTATCAAGTATCAGGTGTTCAGCGCTCCGTTTGTACTAATTTTGTGTAAAGAAATGCATTTTCAATTCTACCCGAAACATGAAAATCAATAGGCTTGCTAGTGCTAAGAAGTATTTCTATATGACGGGTGTCTTCCGAAGTTTGACTGATTACGTCACAGGGCAGCGCAGCTGACGGCGGCCGGCATCGCGACGCTCCTGAAGCGGACGGGTCGTCGTGAAGTAACGGTCGGACTGGACGGATCTGTCTACCGCTTCCATCCGTCATTTCGACATCTGCTTGAGGAGAAAATCGGCCATTTGATTACTAACGACATTAAGGTGCGTCACTTATAGATTCGTTGTCAAGATAGGGGCTCTCAAATTTTGAAACGTCCGGTGGAAGTCACTATACCTTTCTCCTTTTTACAGTTCTGCTTGGAGAATTCACTCAAATAGATACTTAATTGAATTAGCAAACTGTGGACACCAATTTGAAGTTCTTTCCTCATTCGAGTTTTCTTTGCAACGGTTCTTCTTGAATGAAATCTTCTAGCTGATGTTCAAAAAGAGTGCACTAGAAATTGAGCGTTCAGCGAATCCAGTACTATTATAGATAGTACTTAGGTTATCATGGTTCACACTTTTTATTAAAATTATTTCCACTTGTCGTCGCAGTACTGCCCTATTGATAGATAAGTATAAATTCTTTCTAGTAGCTTGAAGTAAAAATTTTAACAACTTTTTTTTCTTAGATCCCGCATAGACAGTTGTCCCATTTGGTTTGTTGTTTTTTGAGCAAAGTGACAAAATACGGACTGTAAGCGAGAAAACCACCATGTTTCAGTACCAGCTGATGCTCTCGGAGGACGGCAGCGGTCGTGGTGCCGCTGTGGTGGCCGCGGTCGCAAGCCGAATGAAGCAGCAGCAGCAGCGGCAGCTGCAGCAGCAATAAGCAGCATGGCCATCAACGGCATGACTTGATGGCCAGCCGTCTCCAAACTAATGTCACTGTGAATTAACTGACTCCTAAGATTTCTGTATGCATACAAAATAAATTGATTACCTAAACTAATCGACTAAAATTAATGTAAATACCTTTTTGTAGTGAAATAGTTGTACTAGCTCTGATCTCTTAGGCTAACTATAAGGATAGGTTATTTCTCGGATTATTTGCACTGTTTTTCAGCCCTTTTTCATTTCTGATTTCAAGCACCCGAAACCATTTGAATCGTTGTAGAATAGTTTATAGAGTTATGTAGAATATGTTATAGTCCGCGTGGTGCACAGTGAATAACGCCATAAATCTGTTAAGTCTAAAGCGTCTTGCTGCTGTAGATTACCGTATTCACGACGATGCTGGTTCTTCGGTCATCGTACGTTTTAAACAGTTTCGGCGTATTTGAAACGACAGAGATTTGATTAACTTTTATGAGATATTTCGGGCTATTAAGCCAGCCATGTAGATGCGCAATAACCCCAGTACTTTACATGTTTTAAGTCTTTTTTCTTCAAGATAAAATCATTAACAAAGTTAAAACACCATAGAGTTAAGGAACACTAACGCAGTCTAGGTACCTGTTCACATTTATGATATATTCAAAGGTTCCTCCATGTCTCTCCGAGCGGTATTCGCTCTTGTTCAATCGCTTTGCATTCCTGAATCGAAGCACTTGGAATTTGAGGTCCGTGCAGCGGTCGGCTGTCGCTCCAAAAAACCCGACGAGGCTCATGCTGCTGTCCTTGTTTGCTCTCCATGTCCACTGAACGTCTATTCTACATGTAAAGGGTGTTCTGTCTAACCAGAGAGCCTTCCAGTTCGATCTGTTTACATTGGCACTATAGTTTTTCTCAAGAGTTGTCTTCTTATTTATACGTAATCCAATTTTTCTATCCACTTCATTGCACTTATTGATCATCATCTCTGCTTTACTGGTACTTCTAGGAAAAATGATAATGTTATCCGCGAATCGAAGATTTTCTAAGAATTTCCATCAATACATATGCCCTTCCCGTCCCGACCAAGTGAATTCGTTGACCACTGCAATGTGGTAGCAAACAGCTTTCACCATATGATGTCGCGCTATCGAACCTCTTTTCTTATGATTATTGTGAGGGACCGATGAAAAAAGTTGTAATGACGCATTGCAGTTTGAAAGCCCAACAAGTTAATGTTTTCGCTTCAGCGCCAACAAAAGGTTTTTTGTAGTCGGCAAATTTAGGCCGATAGATGGTTTTATTTCCGACAAATCGCCATCGCTCCGGATACTGATGCAGTCAATGCAGTAGCATGTTTACCGGAGCCTTCTCTGTTGAACTGGTTGTAGGTCCATCCAACGTTTACGATATATGCCATAGAATAGTTTTTATGGAAAGCATGTAGGATACACTCAACAAGCAAATTTGGAGGTGGTTACAAGGATACAAGGATTCGAGAAGATGGCTCACTGAGGAAGATCTGGCTCGACACGAAGGCGAAGACGCAACGTCGAGACGAACAACAAGCATGGACCATCGACTCGGATCATCGGCTCTGAGGAAGACGAAGACGTCGAAACGTTAGCCGAAAATAAATATATTTATCAACCTCGTGCAAGTTTATCAAGAAAGAATACATATTGATTAGTCACACCGAGGTTTAGGGAAGGTCGGTTTCGAAATACAAGGATACTTTCGGTCACTTTTCTCAGGCAGGTTGTCCGTGTTTGTGGTTTGTAACTGTTTTCCGATACTTTATTTTTGAAGGTTATATATATCATATGGCTTGCGAGAACTATAGTTATAGTAGCTTGTGGCTTCGACCTCGAGTGAAATCGGATGTGATGTGTTCTGCTCTTTGTGTTGTTCCATTCTCCGGGCTTTTTGCCGCATTTCGAATTGTAGATGGAGGAATCCAAAGTGGTCTGTCTCAGCGGAAATTTTGGATTTAAACGAGAGGATTGTGGATTAAAAAAGAATGGATGGTGTCTGAATAAATCCCAACCAACTTTGGGATAACGGAAACGCCAATTAGGCAACACATCCGATTTGTTATCATGTACTTTACTTCGTCATGGTGCCCTCTGTTAGAAGAGCTTTGCTTCCAATTTCGAAGTACGACTTTTGGAATTGTAAATAGTTTTGGCGACACTGTTGAACTCAGACAATCACTCTAGGCTCTTCTCCAATAACGACGTTTAATGGGAAACGTCTTTTATTCTCAACCAATATGACAACCACAACCTTGCTGAGATATTTGCAAAACTCTGGACCGCAGGTGTCTATGGTGGGGAACGAACGCGCTATTGTCCTTTCCGGGGAGTAACGCGTTCACCACCACACTATGCGGGTCCTTCGTTTCGCCTGTCTCTCAGCTATTTCTATCGATCTTTGCCACAGCAATCACCCGTCAGCGGGATTGATCTGGGGCGCCCAAATCGGCATAGAACCTAGTTAAGCTGCGGCTGTAGTAGGCAGAAAATAAAAAGATATAACAATATGATGACATTTTATATAATCTTCTTAACCTGCATAAACAGGTGATCAGTAGGAGAATTCCATGATAAATGTAGGAGTCGTAAATTCGGATCGTTACCATTGTTCCTCCAGATCTTAGGTAGCCTTGAAATATTTGTGATTTTAACAGCCTTTTCGTAGTTCTCCTGCCTACCCAACGCTGGAATATTAATGACTTCATAATATGGGTTCATCATAATGGGACTCTATTTTCTGTTTGGAGATTATTATCAGTATACCAACTTGCCCCCCTAACGGTTTACCGTCTCATCGTGGCTGGGAGATGTTCCTGGGAGTCGGAATGCGATGTACGGCGTAGGATTCAGTTCCTGGCAGGGTCTCCCAAACTAAGAAGGAGTACAGCGTTTCCATCAGGAAGCCTCGCTAAAAGTAAACCAATACCAGGAGCCACCACAGTCCTGGTATCAAAGTCGCATGGTGGAAAATCTCCCTCTGATCCACAAGGGATGCGACTGTCTGTTGTGGTGAAGACCTAGGGCAGATTTTGGCCAGGATTACCTCGGGATTCCAGGGAACCACAATGGCTTAACCAGCAAATCTCCGAAAGATGGGATTACGCTGCGGTTCGCACAACCAGTGAGGCCATTCAAGTATGAAGTATCAAGTATACCAACTTGCAAAGCTTTTTCATGGGTTGGATATTTTCACGGGTAACTGACTGGCCTCTTCTGGGGTAGACATGGAGCTTATTTGTCGGAAGACTCCTGACCACCTCCTATGCGTTCCTCATTCGCTTGATTACACGCATTTGATCAAGTCGACTTATAGAAAAGAAATTCAATATATGTGAGCACATCCAGGCACACATACGTGGTGGACATGTCTATATTAACAGGAGTGCGCTAAACCATTGCAGCAAGAACTAGGAATACATACTCGAGATGGACTTGTGTCCGAGGGAACTGTAAGATCGCTTTTGATCGGCTTGTTCAAGCTCCTGTCCACTTCACGAATATAGTCCACGTAGCCTAATGACCAACAGTTAGGGTGAGGCATATCCGTAGTGCAAGAAGTAAGGAGAACAAAAATGATCGACAACAAACTGTACATGATGGAAGCATTTCGACTACAGCATATTGCATTAGAAATTAGGTCTTCGTTGTCGTAAACGTTGAACCTTCGTCTGTATTTGTTAATTGTAAGTGCAGTAATTTCTCGCTAAACATCGCCGCTACTTGCTCACCAAGCCTATTATCCCACCAAGGTCGCGAAATTTGCACCACACTTACTTGAGTTTAAGCTGAGCAGCAAAACCCACAAGCAAAAGGCGTATGGTTGCAGCTGTTGTTTAAGGGTCGTTGTCTTCGGAATGTTTTTGAATACCGATTAAGCCGATTCCCCCTGAAATCCTTTGATAATGGCTTTGAAGATTTCCCAGATTTTTATCACAGGTGCCAACTTTCTGTGAATGCAACGCGCTGACCCCAGACAATTCTGGTACCAAATTTCACCACTCGGAGAAGTGGAGGGCTTGATTATCCCGAAGTGGGTTTAAAAGAAGGCCTTGCGCATAGTGAACGGCATAACTAGCGATAAGCTGGGCCCAGAATACGTATGAAATGTCCACGTCAATAACGCATAAAAAGTTTTCCTTTTCAGGCCATCTTAGACTACTCTACATGCATTGATGTCATGGCATGACTTTTGGGAATGGACCATGTCTATTGATTTCAGATGATTTGCTTTCCCAGTGTTCACTTCGCCGCCATGGTCTTTTCTTGTCTCGCTTCTTGTTCTTTTAGAGTATATGAAAAATGCAGATTACTGACGAAATATATGAAAAACTGGGTTATTGAGCTGAAAACACAATTACGAAAGTAACCTTTGATGGAACCAGGGACCGTATGCGCCGAGTTCAGTGCATACTGCGTGCGGTGGAAAATTAAGCATGATAGGAAAAGGACTACGGGTCGACGTTCGAGTATTATTGATAAAATTTATTGAAATTGAATGATTTTTGTGCGTGAAAGCCCACCAGTCAATATTTTCTAATATAAAATTATGCCTGAGCTTATAGCAAACAACTCTGTTTAATAAATGTTAAACCACTTATTTAATTTCAAATTGAAATGTGCCTTCACAATTTCTAAATTTAAAACGGCTCTTAAGGGGGCAGATAGCACAATGGTAGTGATGTCCGTCATCACGAGAATGGTTCTAGTTAGTTCGATTCCGCTCCGGGCTAACCAAGAGTCTCATCCCTCCGGGTTCGGAAATTGGTCTCTCTGCAATCCAATTGGGAATGCTCCAACCCGGCTATCGTAGGACTCCAGCAAGAAACAATTCGCCCAGCATTCTACAATATTCGAGATTAGAAGGAAGTCCTCAGGCAGCAACCGAAGCCACACGTAAAGGTTGGGAGACCTTCGCGGACAATGGATGCGAGGAAACGAATCGAATGTGAGAAGTGGTGGGATCCACACAGTAGACGTGAACACGGATCAAATAAAATGAAATGAAATAAAAAAAGGAATACCGACTACCCTATTTCACGTTACATTCATGTTCGCCAAAAACTTTGACATTCAGAGCTCTTCTATGCCATCCAGCAATGAGTTGTTTTCTAAGTTTGATGCATAAAGGTAGGTGTAATGAGTGTATTTCCGAATAAAACTACGTCTTTTGGCCGTCTTTTCAGCACTGTCAGACGTTCATTACGGCTTCCTTCCTTCAACGCTTTCGCTCGTTCTTCTTTGCGGCACCCTGAAGGTTTTCTGCAAGACTGCGACTGAGATCTATTAGTTTCAACTTGACTTGCTTTAGCACGAGGTAAAGCTCGCTCTCACAACATTCGTACATGTGAGCATTAAAAAGCCATGAACACTAAGTTGACCACTAAGCGAAAAGAATGAACAGTCCAATGTAATCATGGAAAGCAAGACAAAACTAGGTTTCGTTCGTTTTTAACCCGCAAAATAGGTTAACTATTAAATGTTAGAGCCGTTCAAGATGCCAAAAATACAATTAGTCGAAGCGACTAACTTCTTGAAATTGCTAGAAGGCCAATAGTAAGACTACCGATCTCATGGAAAGATCTCTTAGTTAACACGCTCGAAGTAAAATGTGATACTTTTCGTGTTCAACAATCTAGCCGAGTCTTCACTATCCCGACGAGGGATCAAATGAAAACTTTACTGTCGCCTAGTCGACCCATCCTATGGCGAAGAAAAGCTGATACTGGTAAATGGGTGAAAAAAAATTTAATGGAAGAATGAACAATAAGACTCCCCTGTTTGGGCAGGGGTTAGTTTGTAGACTGATAAAATTGTGGATATTGTTTGAAAGCAGAAAAAAATTACATATGAAATATGGTCACTTGCCATTTTAGATGCCTGAATGGTCTGCTCTGAAATGAACTATGAGTCTCGTCTCACATCTCTCCCGCTTCTTTCGTGGTCTCATACGCATCATTCAAGGAGGTGGGAACGGCTGAGCGATTCAGTTCCGTGGTATACTGAGAGTCTGTAGTCCTCCACCTTATTGACATATTGAAGAGTAACTTTTTCCCGGATAAGTCCGCCACCGATTTCCTGACCCGGGAGGGATGAGAGGCTTGGTTCGCACTGGGCAGAATGGACCTAGCACCATGCTCGTGATAACGGACATCACCATATGCTATCCGCTCCTACGTCAACCTTTTACTACCTGTATTACAGCGGCAATTTCTACAATTGGTTTGTTCTTAACCGGGCTTATCGACAGAAAAGTTGCAATCAACTTCAATTACACCAACCGGAAACGAACCGATGACGTAAAGGTGCTACTTAATTTTTACGTACTCATAACTTGTGTCGATTAGTTCCAACTCATCATAATGAGTACCTTTCATTAAAACATTTATGAACAGAAATCTTCAAAGAGCGTTTAATATTGTCTACAGAATTTAAGAACCATGGTCCATAATAAGTAAGCTATTGCCCGTAATTTTTAACACATTTCCAGTCTCCTAGTTGAAGAAGAAGTACGTCAAAGTAACTACGGAATGCTGCACGCAATTACATTCAAATAGCACAACAAATGTAAGACGGTCTCAAAATTAAATCTGTCCCGGTAATTATGAGAAAATATCAATGCTCATGAAATGGCAACAAAAAAAGGGTTATTCTTAGGAAACCGATTTACCTTCACTCTTGTTAGGTGCGCTATTCATTGAAACACTGTCGAGGAACCAGCGCGCCTTTAAGTGGGTTAGAGCACTGACTAACAGAGGATGACGAAACAAAGGGAAAATCCGTCATGATTGGCTCGTATTTCACAGAAATTATGATAGATCATAAGTAATCTATTAAATTAATTTACATTATGTGAATTATCCCTTCCAAAATCGATAAAAAGCATACATAAATATCAGGGTTACAATACAACCGACAACGAAGATAAGCCAGTCTTCTGATACTCTCCGTTCTATCATCTGCAGGGTTGTACTTGATAATCCTAACTGAACGAGAAATGATGAGACAAGTACGTTGATATTTAAAAATCAAATGATGCTGAAAGGAAACAAAGACTCACAGCTGCTCCAATATCCAGAATTTTCCTTCTGATTCCACGCAAATTCATATGCTGTGAACGAAGGTTCTCAAGAACAGCAACTCCTTGACTTATCAAATCGTCAACCTGAACAGCCAATCAAATCATGTTATTATTGGGTTAGATTTCAACAGCAATGAGTAGTTTGCTACGGGTTCTGTATAGCCTCATTAATCTAACCCAGTCCTACTCTGTAAAGTAAAAAACATAGATAAGAATAAGCAGCGAAGCTGAATTATCGCAGACTGACATGTCGATTAGAGGAATTAAGTCGATCATTCATCTGCAGCTCATGATCATCCAAGGTCAGTCTAGTAGATTCGTTAGTCCGGAATCTATGTTGCGAACAGGTTACATCTGGAGATTGAACACCGACTGAAAACTCTAGGAAATATACCTCTGGTGAAGCAACTCTTCTCGTTCACTAGCCGCCTTCCATTTTGCAGTGAGATTCGAGTAAATGGACGTCATAGCGTAGTGGATGTTTTGACTGTCGTTTTTTAACTGATCAACCTTGAGTCTAACCTGAAGAAAACACTCTTCAGAATTAGGACATGTATAAAATAAATAAAGGATAAAGCTCCCGACGGTGACCTATCCTTGAAGAATGCGCCATGCATTCAACTTTATTAAGTATCGTTGGAGGTCATTGAATGCATCTGGTGGTGAAGGCCTTTACAGTACTTGCGGTGGCCTACCGATGCATCGAGCCAGTGCTGCTATCCTCCCAGACAAGTCTGGTACCAACTCGCCGACCCCGGATGGATGGAGTGTTTGGTCGACCTGCGGCGGATCGATCCCACGTGCACTGTAGGGTGCCTCTGACCACTGCCCTACACGCGCCCAGAATTAGAACACAGAGATGGGAAAAGCGGCGTAAAATCATATCTATACCAAAGGGTGATAGGCAGGGAGTCCAAGGTGGGGATTAAGACAAAAAGGGATCATCAACCACACACTTACCTTAAGACTCAGGTGGATTCATTCAAGGGATGATGTACATGGAGGTGGTTCCGAGTCATCAAGTCATCTCCAACAAAATGTGATCTGCACCTAATTCAGGAAAGCAGATACTATTCACTGGTTTACTCAACCACCATGCCACGGGCAGCGATTGGGAACACTCCTCAAGGACAAGAAAAACAAAGGCCTTACACTACATGTGTGACCCATCACTAGCCCCTTAAAAAAGCGGAACCTTGTGAAGTGGTTGGACCGGTCACGTGGCCGAATCGAAATCTCACCGATGATGGTATGATGCATTCAGTCACGTGACTAGTGGAATTATATATGATACAAATAGCATGTATATTGCGAAAAAAGGAAAAAGAAAAGGAAAATAAAGACGTAAAGGATGGTCTCACAATATGTCGCCGGGCCGCCGATTCTTTGTTGACCAGAATCCCCAACTGGTCCCAGTTCTGATCGATAATCCTGGAAATATAATACTACGAAATATTACGAATATTAGCAGATTTTGAAGTGGCGACTGAGAACAGAAGTCAGAAAGGCCGCATCACCGAAGTTGTTCTCTGATGTACTGGACGATCTCTTGGGCTTCTCGTTCGTTTGCAGCACGTTCTAGCCGTCCCATCGCAAAGTGTGCTTGTTGTAGGATACTGGACGTCTCTTGATACAATCGTTCCATTGACATCTGAAGCAAACCAGGAAGTGACGAAAATGAACGAGAAGCATCTGGTCTTAATCACTATCTGACAGGCCTATCTCACGCTTAGACAAGACACTCTAGTCCAAGAGCTTTTTTTTAAACCTATTTTATTCCACACGAGTCGTCTTCACGCCTACTGTGCGGATCGCAGCACCTCCTACATTTGATTCATTCTTTCTTATCCGTCCTCCAAGAAGGTCTTCCAACTTTTATGCGTGGTTGCGGCTGCTGCTTGAGAAAAAAAATTTTCATTTCCTCTTCAATGCCGTAGAATGCTGGTCGAGTCAATTCTCCATGGAGTGCTCAGATAGCCGGACGAGAGCTCTCCCAGTTGGATTACAGACGGTGATTCTTCCCCGGACACGTCCAGTACCAACTTCCCGAACCCGAAGGGATGACAGGCTTGGTGAGTACGGAGCGGAATCAAACCAGCACTATGCTCGTGTTGACCGGCATCACTATCAAGTGCTGATCGCCCCTTTAGTGAAAGAACTAGTGGATCAACTAAAGTATAGCTTGCTAAACTAGTAAGAACGAAAGAACTACATGAAACATGTACACGAAGAGACTGTGAGACTCAATTTTTGTTGTTGATACGTCAGCGAATCTTTGTGTATTTGCGGTCAAGACAACAAGTGACGGCTAATACTCTTTCCATTGGTAAGCCTAAATGAGGTTAAAATCTTGCAGTAGTAGTATGCAGAGGCTACTAGTTAATTTTTGCTTGATATACAGGCAGACTTCGAGGTTCTTGTTCTTGCCTGCGTTTTTTTGTCTTTTGTTTCTCAGCGACCAGTAGTTAGATTCTTGGTGAAAGTGTTCTGTTTTCAAGGGCAAAGTTCTCGGTCTATCAGTGCCTCTACCTTTTCGGCCAGACTATTTTTCAGATAGTAAAATGTTTAGTTCGAGGTTTCGTAATCGAGTAAAACATTGGAACGGTATCCTAACACGATTTCGGGTGATTCATCCAGAAATTCACGTTTCTCTCTGTCGGGAGCAATAGGTGGACTGCGTTTCCTCGTGGGAAGCGCCCTTTATGAATCTTTTCTGTTTGTTGTTGATTCCTTCGGGTTCATAGATATTTTCGTAGAAGGGAAACTTTTTCTGTGTGGGCACTCTTCATGTGCTACCGAGTTCACCGTGTTTCCTATTGTGCTAGTGATCCGAGGTCCTACACATGCCATTATTCCGTTGTTAACGTGTTGTATAACAAAGTGTTTTCTGTTTAATTACTCAATATTTAGGAATGATTACATTGCAGCTAGCCATAGTTTTTGGGACTGCCACGTTGAGCTATGGAAGTGAATGTGTTGGAAAGACTCCACCTGCGGAAATGGATTTGAGCAGTATCAGCTTCCTCCAAAGCTATAAGGTGTTCATTCTGCTTTTATATTCCAGTTTTCTAACAAGTAGATCACTCTCTTTCAAATCGACGGTGAAGATTCAACTAGCTTTTGTCAATCATTTGTTACTAAGCGTTAGCCATCTGTACATAAATTGTTATACTGAGTCAAGAGTCTGTGCATCCCTAGATCGCCATTGCCTTCTGGGACATCGATTAATATAGGATTTGGTGAGCGGTGGTTAGGTGAAGAGTTATCTGTGAGAAACAATGAGCGTGCCTTGATTTCTTCGGGCGGTGTGTGAGTCTTCTACAACATTAGTGTGCCTTTCAAACCTCGCAAGTATCATCTGGTGACGCAAGACCTATAGATAAGGCTATATGGGCCTTTGCACAAACTGTATAAGGCTACGGATTATTCGTTCTTGTTTCGGGGAAGTTTCTGTCACGAAACATAGGCAGGTTGGTTTCGTCATACAAAATCTGTATGTGTCAAAACACCATTATCCGTCATCTATACTACGTGAAATGTCGTTGATTATTGAGTAACTTGAGTGGGGACCTTAAGCTAGGTGCGCGTGCAGCGCCGTGGTCGGAGTGTTCCTTGCAGCACACATGGGATCGATCCCCTTGCTCTAGGCCAACCAAGCCTTTCATCCCTCCGAGGTCGGAAAATTGGTACCAAATCCGTCTGGGAGGATAGCAGCACTGACTTGACACATCGGTAGGCCACTACAAGTCATGGTAAAGGCTAGATATGCAGTCACCTCGAACGATGCTTAGTGAAGTCAAATGCATGATCCATTCGTCAGGCATTGATAAACGCCGAGAACTTTATCCTTTTTTTAAGCGAGCACATGATTTGTTCCTTTCATGCGCAATAGCTATTCAATGAGTTTCGTTTACTCTATGGGCATGAAGAGCACTTGAGTTCCACTATTATGCCCTTGCACTTGCTTTTTTTAGCGATAGGGTAACAATAGATAACTAGGAAGGCTATGCGTTAGCATAAGTTTGCGCGTCGCTATTCTTCCTAGTCGATATTTTGTACACTCTAACATTGTTGGAAAATCTGTTGAGGATGAGGCGTTCAGTGTACTCAGGGTAACCCTTCAGTTATGTTGAGGGATAAACCATGAGTGATACTTTGGTGGAATGAAAAATAGAAGGCAATAACCGTCCTTACACGATTACTGTATGGGAGTGATATTTTTAACAATCTATCGAGAGCCTTTTGGGTAGCAAACCTCCACCACGAAAATTCCGGCTACATTACGACTAACGGTGAATTTGCTAATTTACCAGTGAAGTTTATGTACTCTTAAGGTACTGCTATTGTTAAGGTGTCTGGAGTGATTTCCGATTGGTTTAATAAAAATGCTGTTGCCTTCGATGAATTTGCAAATTCTGACCTGATTTCGACGTTGCTTTCCTATCGAAGTGGCACTTCTTTACAATGGGTAACCATAAAAGCTGACAAGAACGTATTTTTATACAACAGAACAAGTAAGTTCATGTTGTTTCATCTTTGACAAAGCGAAAATATGCGTTTGAGACGGTAGTCTTTGCAAAATTAGCTTTTATGAACATTTAATAAATCTACATCTTTCTGACGTTTCCTTCTCCTTCTCGTTTGATTCTCGCTTATTTCCCTGAGCAGTCTACATATCGGGTAACGAGTTGATTATTGTTGTGATACCAATAGTTTTTAGTTGGATACTGTGATAAGGCGAATTCATCATGCTTGGAGTCATTTCCTGAACTTTTGCGTGTTTCAAAAAATCTGTCATCTATGGCAACGTTGCTGGAGGGTCTAGTGGATTTCTCGAAGACCAACAAAGGATTTAAGGTTTTATAACAAATCTGAATTTCTACGCTCTTAGTTGTCTTTGTATCCGAATGGGACTAGAAAACAATGTCATTTCATTCTGCAGTGGGTAAGCTTGAATTTCAGCGTGGACACAAGATTGTGGCCGGTATGAAAGGAGTGCACTGGGTCTCATGCGTAAAGGATACGGACGGTTCAGACAATCTTCAAGTAGAGGTGACGAACTAATTTTAGAGTGGTGAAAAGAGTTCTACTGTCTTAAAGAGGCATTCTATATCTGCGTTTTGTCGTATATTGCCCTTGCTGTTGGACTCTTAGATAGAGTTATATCAATTAAGTGGTTTTCTTGAAAAGGTTACGTTCATATTTAGGTGGTGTTCACTGATGAGAATCCACTGAAACCACCTTCTTCCGCTTTCAACAACCCATTAGTTGTTTTCCTGCAAGTTGGAGTGTATGGAAACTTTTCAGGTGAAATTTCAGAGCAGTTTTCTATTCTTTTTATCTGATGGTCTAAAAAGGAAATCGATTTTGTCTTATCATATCTTGATGCCATGTTTTCACACTTAGTTCTATACGTTCAAGTTCGTAATATATTGTTTTAAAATTCAAACACAAAATGGAAGTCGCTCTACGTTTTTCTGTCAATTCATATCTAGTATATTCGCGATAATGGTTGGTTTCAATGCGTACGTGTCCAATAGTACTGAAAGCATGGTGCCACAATATTTCTGACCAACCTTGTCGAGATTAAATTCAGTAGTTTAGAAATTTTTTGCCAACAAGGCACGATTTTTCTTATCCTGTCGGGATGTAGTCCTGGTTTTTAAATCGTATCTTTAGAATACTTAAGAGGTATTTCTTTTTTTCTCGTTAAAGCTCGTATTTCGAACATAAAAACTGTTGGACAACTTTCGTCCATTGGAACGTTGTTGATATCCTCATACGTAGTGTTGTTGTTAGAATCAGGACTTTGTGTATATTGGATGGCATTATTACCGCTGTCCTACTCGCCCATCTTAAGTTGGAACAGAAGTGGAAAAGTAGCCGTTTTGCTTGGGGAGCGCTAACGGTCGGTACAGTGTTGGTATTAAATTAGAGATTCGAAGGTTTGAAACGGCTAACTGCTGAAGGTGACCGTTTGAAGTTAGTTGGTAATCTTGGTTAAAGAATGTCATTTGAAGAGCTTCTCGAGCTGTCAGACGTTGTTCTGCCGCAAATGTCAAACAGCCATTAATAACGGGTAAGGCGTCAGCAGGTAATCTTGGATTTAACCTTTCAAGCGGCTGAGCAGAATAAGATGGATAATTGGACCGTTCAACGATGGCGTCATGTGGCCAGAGTGAAGATCGAGGCGTTCCCATTTTTTGAAAGATAATGCTCAGCTGTTGTGCTTCCGTTTGGCCAGGAAACAGTGGCAATCTTTGATACAACTCGCTCACGATGCATCCTATAGCCCAAACGTCAACTGCCGTATTGTAGCTACATTGTAGTAATAATTCCGGACTTCGATACCAAAGAGTAACAACTACGGTAGTAAAGCAGCTCTGTGTAGTGTAACTTCTCGACAAACCAAAGTCAGCAATTTTAACAGTTTGATCACGATTGATAAGAATGTTTTGTGGCTTAAGGTCCCTATGGATGATGTTATTGCTATGTAAAAAGTCCACGCCTTCAAATATCTGCCTAGCTATCAGTCTGCACTGATGATCTGGTATATCACGAGGTATGTCCTTTAGGAAGGAATACAGATCCCAGTCGCATTTCTCCACAACCATATTAATATGCAGATCACATCCATTATTTTCCAAAGTGTGAAATACGTCATGTAATAGTGTAATATTTTTGTGACGAAACCTCCTGAGTGCCATCATACTTGAGATTTCACGTAATACACTTTGTGGTACACCGTCGTCATTCACGCCCACCACTATTTTCTTCAATGCATACTCAGTCATCGTCGGGGTGTGTGTTACATGGTATACAACGCCGTAAGCGCCTTTTCCAAGTACGTTCAATTCTCTATACTCATCGGCCTTCGATGACCGCCAAAACGGTGGCCGAGTAGTTGCCAATGCCATTCGTTCAGCTCAAACTTGGGTAATATTTATTGAAGTACATTACACTGCTGTTTTAGAACTTGGAACAAGGAAGTGAGCATAATTGTAGTGTGTCAGAGGACACCTCAAATGGATTTGACTGATAGAAAAAAAATCGATAGGTGGATGCTGCAGAGCTTCGATGAATGGCAAGGAGGTCCTGGATTGTGTAGCTTGTTGAGCTCTTTTTGCTGCGGAAGAAAACCTTTTCTAATCACTATGTAGTTCGACTTAAAGTGGATTCTTTGCGATAATCAAGGATTTGCGCACAGACCCTTGTATCATATCGAAACTGTACTCGAACACCCAAAGCCTACAGCAGTTGATAGTCCATCCATAATGCCGGTATAAAGGACTAGTCAACGGTTGCTGCAGTAACAATCCGGAAGGGACTAACAAGATTAAGGTGGACTAAAAATGGTATTCTTTCATTTTAGGAAACGAATCCTAGCACCGGAAAGGTTGTTTGAAGATTAGTGATGCATGGGAAATCAAGTATGACGTCATTGAACCGATGCTGATGTATACGCACATGTTCCAGGACAAAAAACTTCTTTTAAAATAACTATTAAATTTCGAAAGGAGTTGAGAATTTGACCTGACTTTAATTACGCCTATCTACATTCTTCAGTTGTAATGAAGGAAATCTTAGAAGTTCTGTTTGAATTTGTAATTCTGTAGAGGAAGGTTTTTGGCATATCTTTTATTTCCTTTGTTAGACTTGGCGACTTATTTGCCAGGATGAGCGTGTAGAAAGAATTTGAGAAAGTTCACAAAGGCACCCATGGATTAGAGTGTAATGAAAGAAGTTTTCTATTTTGATTATACAGACATCTCTGTCGAGGTAATTAGTTTCCCTAAAAGACACTCTGCTCTGGTGTCGTCCGACCCAAAAGACGTTATCACAGATTTCTTACATCATTTTAAACAATGGGAAGCTTTGTTGATTTCTCTGTATTATAAGATTCCTTGTGCGGTCGAATCACCAGTTAATTCAATATCTATTGAAATAAATCAAGGAGAGCAACGTAGAATGGGCAATAAAGGTTCTTTACAACCATTACATGATGAGACTTTCCTAACAGAGTAATGAAATAATTCCGTCACGAACTGTCATTTTTACTCAAACAATCTGAAGTTGGTGAAGTAGAATGGAAAGCTCTAATGGAGCTGGGCAGTAGTCATTTAAGAGTGGAACTTGCGACACTGTTCAAAGCAGTTTCGAAATATTTCTAAAGAGATAAGGAGCAATCTTAGTATAGAGTGGTGGGTTGAGAAGAGGCTCAATTGCATCAAGCAAGTTCACTCAGTTGCAATTCCAAGACGAATTCTATCCATCGAGCTGGTAGTACTTGGATTGTTTGCACAAAGAAATAGAGAATAAAGTGTTAGGCTTCGGGATGCCTCATACCATTGACTTCATTAAACATCGAATCGATGATTAAATGCATATTTGGCCCATATAGTGGGCTTTGCGAGAACCTACCAACTTATCACGTTTGCGTTTTTGTCCTCGTAAGCACTTCCAACACTGTTTTACTCATGCCAGATGAGTTGGAGCCTGTTTTTCTAACACCTAGGGAAAGATATAGGGTATTTCTTATTCTACAAATAAGACAATGATTCAAGGTAATATTTTCCACAACGTGAAGCAAACCATCTGTAGATTTGTTCTATGTCTACAACCGAGCAGCGGTGTCGTCATTCAGCAGCCATGAAATTGAACTTTTGGCAGGTTGGGCATATCGTTTGATTAAGGTACAACCGCTGGGGAAACTTTCAATGAATTGTATTTTGTGTGATGTTAGAATTGCAGCAGGTAGTCAGACTTGGTCACACTCCTATCGAGCGATGATCATACTGTCTTTATAAAGACCGCGATAGCTTAGTATGACGTTTCTGTTGTTCATCGATCTGATAAACAAAGTGGAGAACACAACCACAACGATGCTGAGATATCCGTGAAACTTGGACGTTGCGTCGGATCGAACCACGATAATCTTTTCTGGGGACCCGCGTTGCGTAATACACACTACACCACTGAGGCCCTTGCTTTGCGTTTCTATCAGCTAGTTCTCTTAGTAGGCAGCAAGTAAAAGGTTAAGAAAGTGGGCAATATCTCGTTACGGAAGTATCGGTTGCAAGCTAGTCTTGGTAACCTGCGAAACAAATTAGACATGTGAGAGTTAATGTGGAAGAATCATTACTAAAAGTGTTTAACAAGAATTTCAGACGATACTACCTTGAAGTCCCAACTGTCAGTGGAATTCGATAGCTATAGTTCCATTTCAGAAGTCGATAGTCGCCACATTATGGTTAGTATCTATCTTTCATTTTGTTCACTGAAATTTCCTTCGAGGTGTGATCCCATCCCAATTATCTAGCAAAGCTTCCGATTCTTTAGATTCCTTCTGGTGTTGTTTGCAATGGATGGAAGCGAGAACCTATCCCGCTGAATGTTTCGGATCCATACAGTGTTCACATTCAAATAGTTGATGAAAAGAAATCACTGTTTGAGTCAATGGTACGACTTTAATGCTTTATTTGAAACATCGTCGGAATGCTCGCCTGCCATGTGGGCGAGCGGAGTTCGATTTCCGGCCAGTGCACCATCGTATCGTAGTTGCTAGTGGAAAATTAGGTCTTCGAGTCAGTTCTCGGTACTGAATAATCAGCTTCAGGCAGAGTGCTCTACTTCGTAGGAAGGTGCCACACGGATTTAATTAATTTCCCAGTTGGGCCTAATTTTCCACTAGTCTTTTAACAACTGCGATAGTCAGTCTTTTAATTATTTTTTTTGCTACGTTTTTTCTAAAAGTTAAAATCGCAAGTAGAGCTGATGTAATCTTCTATCACTGTTTTTGATCTAAATTTATTATTTGCGAGACCTTCATTTTTATTAAGGCCTACTATTCTGCTTCTGAAGGACTAATTGCTGTCAGTGGTTCAAGAAAGGATGATGTTGTACCATTCATAAACGAGAAAAACGTACCCAAGGGAGTCGTCTCCGTTGTCCATGATTTCAATAGTGGTTTGTCTTCTTTTTTATCCTAATGCCTGCCTATTAATCAAGTTAGTGATGTGGTTCTTTGGTGGTTCCTTGTTGATATGCACAACGGTACACATTCCATTTTTTGCACTGGGTTATATTATATATACGATGCCTTCTGACGGTTTACCGCCTAATCGTGGTTGGGAGGTGTATCTGTGCATTGGGTTGTAATATACAACGGGAGCATTCATCCCACCAGCAGGGTCTCCCAAGCTGAGAAGGAGTTTGGCATTTCCGTCAGAAAGCCCAGCTAAAAGTAAACCGGTACCAGGATCCACCACCGTCTTAGCTTCGAACTAGTCGTGTGGTGGCAAACCCCGCTGATTCACAAGGGTGGCGGACGCTGGTGGTGGTGACGACCTGGGAGAGAACTCGGCCAGGTTGGCCTCGGGATTCCAGGAAAACACTGGACAAGCCAGGAAAACTCGGAAACAGTGGAAATTACGCTGGGGCCCGCACAACCAGCGAAGACGGGCCATCCAACTTTATATGCCATATGAACTCTGTATAAACTATCTTCACTCTCTAGGTAATGTGTTTTTACGTTATTAGAGAACAGCATATGTTTAAGGAAGAGACCCCAGTTCGCTATTTCTGAACATTTAAAGGGTATGAATACGGCTTGGACTCCTCACGATGTGTTAGTTTTTCTGCACTGCCGACCGAATCAGGTGATGTTGTTGTTTCCAATGGCACATATTCCATGCGTCCTCTTGCTCAAATGCTCATCCCTTCACAACTCACTTTCGGAAATTATGGTTCAGTACGTTTCTTTATTTATAAGTTCAAAAGAATTCCGTTCAGCAACACTAATGGATTCGATGGAAAAATACGTCTTTCATGTACATTTAGTCAGTCTGCTTTTTTTTTAGTTAAAAGCTGAAAATGGGCGCATACTTACGATCTATCGTGGTCTGAACAATGAAGCAAATGTAACTGTTGAAGTTCATTTTGATGGAGATCAATTAGACAGCTATACAACGTATAAGGTGTGTGTAGGCTGTGTGGATTCACAGCTACGAATACTTCCTTTCCTTTCAGACAACAGACGGTAGTCCTTCTATCTTGTCGTTCACGAAGTTCACACCGACACCGGATGGTGGTGTATCCTCGCTATCAGAGAAATTGCAAGCTTGTTTTGCTGCCCATGGTCGTAGTTCTAACGACACATTCACTTTAGCAGTAAAATCAAGTTAGTGACACTTATGCAAGAAGAACTGGCTACAAGATTATGGCTCGCAAGTTTACTTTCTGTGGATTGTCGATCCATGAAACATTTGCAGAATCCATCAAAGACGTTTATGACAAAGGTGTCGACAAGGTCACATCAGCTCTAGCAGAAGCTTTGAGTAAAGTTGGACCGATAAATCCATTGCGTGTTCGTGTCTTCTTTGTGAGTACTTCATTTTTTTCTTTCACTTCACTTCGACAGTTCTGTTGCCGACTTTAATTCATCTTCGGTATCAAAGATCGATGTATCTTATTTCATTGATAATTTAAAACGAGGTAGTTAGAACAGATCTATTCGGCTAACGTTTCAATAAATAAACGTGTGGTAAAAACATTCTGTTAGGTTATCAATGCAATCAGATTCATTGACTCTTCACATCAGTAAGTTTTCTTCGGTTGAAAATCGATCATAAGGCTGATGATGTTGCCTGTTAATCCTCCTTATTGTTATTCTCTGATGTTTTAAGACTAAAGCAATTTACCTCTCCAAATTGTTCGGCTTACACGAGGTTTATATCAATACATATGAATGCATAATACGTTGTGACATAGTTATAATTATAACGAGGGCGAAAGCACAGTGGTAGTGACGCCGGCCATCACAAACACGGTGCTGATTCGATCGCACCTCGGGCTCACCCACCCTCTCATCGCTCCATGGTAGGAAAATTGGCACCGGATTTGTCCGGAAAAATCTTCCTCTATAGTGCATTTGGCAGTTCTGCAGCTCGACTATCTTAAGATTTCAGCGAGAATCGACTAGACCAGCATACTACAAAATTCAAGATGAAATGAAAATGCTTATGCAGCAGCCGAAGCCACACGTAAAAAGTTGGAAGAAGACTTTCGTGGATGATGGATGCGAGGAAACGTACCGAATCTAAGAAGTACTGGAATTCGCACAGTAATTGTGAAGGACGACTCGTATAAAACAAAATAAAAGAGTCGTCAATCATATGCGACTCTGGGCGTCTTCCTCTGTGGAAGACAGGTGAAAAAAGCGGCCCTGACGAAGGCGATTCTGCCGAGACGTCAGCTACGGTTGTGTTGTATGTTTGTTGTTATATGGAAGTAAACGTATGCTCTTTAACAACTCCGCGATTGCTGAGAAAGAAAACGACGAATTTGTAATCCAATGCCGAGGTTAATGGAAAGTCGATCCTGGGAACTATTAGGAATAAAGGAAATACAACATAATTAGCATTGTATATTTATGTAACATATATTTTATGACTTTATGATTTTTATATTTATCTTATAACATATATTTCATATCGACCTCATGTAAGCTGAACAATCAAAAAAGATATCGATTATTCGAATATGTCTATAACTAAAATTCTAAAAGTTTGGCAACAAAAAATGTTTTGTAGGATTTACAACACAAGCGCAGCGTCCGCAAACATAAAGGATATACTGAGTACCATCATGTCGTACTGAACGATATCCTTGTTGTTCCATTGTTTTGTGTAGAAAATACGAGCCAGAAACAATCGAAGAAATTTATGTCATTTTTGTTCATTTTACATTTTACTTGACCCATCATCACATCTACTGCGAGGACTTCAACACTTCTTGCAATTCGGTTTGTTTCCTTCGCATTTATCGTCCACAGTGTTCTTGAAACACTTCGCATGTTCATTCGACTAGTGCTTAAGGATTTCATCTTCTCTACGAAAGCTGTAGAATGCAGGTCGAGTCGATTCTTCTTGCAATCCCGGGGAGAGCTAAGGCGCTTCTAAGTGGATTGGTGGAAAGCGTTAGGAAGACTGTCAAACAAGCACCTTGTTTTCTGATAGACTGCATCAATGAACACTGCGCTATACCTTAAGGGTCCGAACATTCGACTCCATTAGCATTACAGAAGTGTTTTTATATTAAATTTTTAGCAAACCGTTATCGGATTTGTGATTTCATTTTTTGTGCATATCTTACCAACTCTTTTCCCTAATATTGTACTATTGTATACCATAGCAAAGCTCGTTTTAAGTACTTTCGCTTCCTATAACTCAATTGGAATATAAATTGTGACCTTAGTAATTTTACAGGCTACGGTTTTAGAAAAAAAGAACAACAATTTTAGCAAATCAGCGAATTCAAAGTTGGATATACTTAATACTTGATATTTGAATGGCCCGTCTTCACTGGTTGTGCGGGCCACAGCATAATCACCATTTTTCGGAGATTTGCTGGTTAAGCCATTGTGGTTCCACGAAATCCAGAGGTTGGTGGCCAAAGTCTGCTCCAGGTTTTCACCATCACGGTCAGTCGCAGCCCTTGTGGATCAGAGAGAGGTTCGCCGGATATACGAAGAGCAAACGGGTGGAAACGTTCATGACTTATGAGGTTAAGGAAGTGTTAGCGAACGCGCATTGTAACTTTGGTTTCGAAAATTTCATCGTTGAAAATTCGACATTGCAGATGTGCAATGTCGCGGACGTCGTGGTATTGAGGACAGTGAAGTCAAGGCTTCCCTGCAAACATTTACTACGCACAGTTGTTCATCAACTTGCGAAAGAACTCGCTGTAGACATTTCAACCGTCTCGAAGTGTAAAAAAAGTTAGAAAGACAAAGAATCTCGAAAGATAAATGACGTGCCATTTGAATAACAACCGAAGAAATCGCCGTTTTGAGATACCGCTGGCTCTTCTTCGACACACCCAAAACGATTTGTACCTCATCGTCATGGTGATATTCGACAAGAAATTGGTCCCTGTGAAAACAGAAGACGAACGGTTGAGTGCTTGGCTCACGATGAAGGTCTGCAGCACTTCTCAAAACATTACGAAATAGAAGTCCAGCAAGTCGATGAAATCCACCAGACACTTCAACGCGTGAGCCTCTTATTGATCAACAGAAAGGAGCCAAATCTTCTCCACAGTTGCTCGCGGCCACACATCGCATTAGTGGCGCTGCGGAAGTTGAACGTGCAGGTCTACGAAACTCTGCCTTCTCCTCCGTTCTCACCAGATCCGTTGACCGTCAACTATCGCTTCTTTGTGCACCATGACAACTTCCTATGCAAAAAATGCTTTAAAAACCAAGCCGAGACCGAAACTGCCTTCAATGACTTCATTTCCTCCAGAAGTCCACAGTTTTTATAAGTGATATAAATAGGCTCGTTCTCCATCGGCAAGAATATGTAGGTTCTAGCGATCTTTATTTAGATTAATAAAGTTTGTTCTGAGCTGAAATATGCCACCTTGAAAATGCAGCTTCAAATCCTACAGTAATTTCCGAAAGACGTAGTCTGTATAATGGCTTACTCAATAACTCCATCGACCTAACGATGATTTAAATCGAAGCTTCTTACCCCCATACAAATCAGTTACCAACTTTCCAATGCGAAGGAAAGCCTAACTAGCTTCTTACGCGGGATCGAAGCAGCGTCCATTGTTTTGTAGAGGAATCGAGCGCATGGCATATCCCTAGTAATGGGTCAACATCAAACGTTTTTTTCTTTGTTTTGCCTTTGTTAATTGTTATGTGCTGGCGTAGACCCGTGTAACTGTTTTAGACTAATCTGTTCAGAGAAAAGTGTGTAGAAATCAGTTTAGTTCTTGTTTTTCTTTAAGTGTCGATTTTAGGACTCTGGAAGTGGTGACTCACTAAGAGTTTTCCTCTCTGTGGTGGAAAAGGCAAATGTGAAACCAGCTACTGTGCCGAAATACAATTACACGGTAGGTAGTATTTCGTTTCTTCTTATTTTTTTTCTTAAGGTGTTTCAGTTATTCATGATATTTAGGCCGAGGTTTTATCATCAGTGTTTGTTGAGAAGCTTAATAAAACGATTTCTCAGGGAGACTGGAAATTCCTTGTGCCAAATTTTGGAAACAACTCGGAGGTTTTATCACCACTTATATACACATTGTTTTCTAATATTTATCTTGGTTGGTTACTTAGGAATGGGTCATCGTGGGGAAATCCTTCGAACGTTACACTCCATCCTCCTCATCGTCTATCTCTGGCTATGTTGGATATACGGGTGGAGCTATGTTCGTATTAGGAGTATTCACACTGGTGTTAGGAGTGACCATCGGTTCGTTTTTTTATCTGGTCTGGTTAACGTTGACTGTTGGCGTCTAATTTTACACTTAGGTGCTGGTGGCGTTTTCTTTGTTACAAGACGACAACGAATTTCTACCTTGGCGTACCAGGTTTTTGAGTAATTGTCACATCTTCTTGCATTGTAATTAATTCTCTAACTCTCCCTATTACAATTTTTTGCGTTAATTTTCATTTCTAAGAACATTACACTTCGTCACAGTGTGAATTCAGTTTTAAAAGAGAATTCGGCATCACTTAGGGCTTATCGCGTTTCTCACTGTTTCACATAATTGGTTTTTTTTTTGCCAATTTGCATATTCAGTTTCCCAATTTTTCATTCTACGAGTTTTTGTGTATGTGTGTGTCTTTTTTATCTTGTTATAACCTACATGGTAAGGTTTAATTATTTGGGTAAATTCTTCAACTCTAAGTTATATCTCTATCGCTATAGTTTTGATGGTTTGGTGGTTTCCATGACATAATTTATAACCCTTATAAGTTTACTAAAAGATTAAGATGCGTATTGCTCCAGTTGTATGCTTGGTGGGTGAACAGGCGTCAATGATCGTCATTTATCCCCCGGAATTTTCATCGTTGTTGTCAATGGCCTCTCTACGACAAGTTGTACCAAGCGCTGTCCTTGAAAAGCTATTTTGGTCTAGTGAAATGTGTAGCAACATGGTAGCACGCAGTGTTACCGATGGGTAAAGGAGTAAGACACGTTAGCTGTGAAAATTCAAATATGCGAAACCATGGGCTTCCACCAGAGACATGCGTTGTCGAGATGTTAAGGCGTTAAACGGAAGTTGCAGTTCAATGCCGCTACAAGTGAAATCAGCTGCCGAGAGGGCTCTTTCAATTGTCGAGAAGTCTTCCCGTGTAAGAATACAAGACCTTCGTGATAATATTGGTGCAAGGACGACTGGTCGACAAGTGGGGAAATCGGCGAATCAGGTTAGCGTACTGAACATCTATCGATATGAAATCTATCTTGTTTTTCGAAGGCATTTAGGGAGGCCATACGCGCGGTGCGTTACAGCACGCAGCGAAGCCACCTCTGGGCTGGATTTGGGGGAACTTCTTTAGCCCGTGGCAGAGGTTGTTCCCAGGAGAGAAGCATTTCAATGCGAACATAAAGTAAGTGCAATGTTCAGAAAGTAGAAATTGTGAAGTTAGTGTCATCACTTCGTTATATCCTCGTTATCCTTGTCAGTATGCGTCGAGAATATATCCCATTATCGTTAGTGGAACTGTCGCGCCTCATTGATCTTGGCTGGGTGAACCCATTACTTCCTATTGATGCCGCCGTTCTCTTTGCTACTAGGAAATTCGTTCTTCAATCGATATCAAGACAATATGGGTTCCATCTTACCGCTGAGGTATTTGAAGTTTCTTATACATTATGGCTTTTCTTTCAATAAACTTTAAATGTACTCGTTTCTTTGCATATCCTTTTTCACTGCAAATATCTAGGGTGCTGATGATTTCACCCATAAAATTGATATCGAAGTGCAGTATGCGTCAGCGACAGCAATTTCAGCGGTTGAGAGAACTGGAGGACGTATTCGCGTTGCATATTATGACTCTAGTGCTCTTCAGGTCTATATTATCTTTCTTGTTAACTTGAAGCCAATTTCATACAGAATCACCAAACCTTTGTTTAAGGCTGCCATGGATCCCCGAACATGGTTCAAATCAGGAAAGCCAGTACCTGCACGAAAAGCTCCACCACCATCGTTATTAGAGTTATTGTTTAGACTAATAGATCCAATTAGTTGCTAAGGGGTTCCATCCGTAGACAATTCATCCATCTTTGATTTTCGTACAATTAAACAATTTAATAAGTCTAGGTACTACAGTGATGCTTCAAATCGTGGTTATTTGGCTGAATCAGCTGAACTAGCTCAGGCGAGAAAACGGCTTGCACTTGTTATGGGATACGATTTACCAGAGAAGGAGATCTGTCTTGGAGAAAAAGGACCGAGTCAAGCTAGTTTTTCCGCTTTTTTCCTTTGTGTAGAAGTACAGTTTTTGCAATTTTAAATTGTTTGATTCTAGGTTTTTCATGGCATCCCGCCTGGAGCAGTTGTTTCACTTGCCGACAAAAAGGTATTTCTACCGAGTCACCCAGTAGTAAAAGATTATTACCAGAGGCATTTTGTAGCCGACAAGCAGTTTCCTTAGTATGAATATGTTTTAGCGTATGTTCTTCTTCAGTGACGAAGTTAGCATTTTTTGTTTTTTTTTTGTGAGTTCTTTTCGAATTGTGTGACAGCTAGGACATTATGTACCATAAATGAAACACCTGCTGATGTAATAATTGGGGATTCCGCTTGCGATTCATACGGGCGTCAGCATAGGATTTTTCTTCTTTCTTCTATATCCGTAGTCATCTGATCCAATGTTGTCCACAAATCTTCGCCCCCAACGCATTGGATGCCGTGCGCATTGATGTAGATACGAGCGTACCTGGAAATCATCTAGTAATTTGATTTCACACAAGTCTCATATTGTATCATTTTGCTGCTTGGTCGTTTTTAAATTCCGGTTAGGCACTGCTGGTTAAAATATAAATATAAAATAATTCAGTTAGAATCGCAGTTCATTGTCACTAAGACACAAGTTTTCCTTATTCTACTTCTGATTTTTCCAGGGCTAAAACTCGTTTTTACTTCGCATCTCTTCAAGACTCGGATTTCGTGAAGGAAAAGCGTTCAATGAGTATGGTTTTTGCCAAGAACGTCTAAAAGGTGTCTCCGAATCTACTAAACAACTTCTGTTGTCCATCATACATTATCATCATTGTCAACCAAATTGAACATAACCAGCAATCCTTCAATTGTGTGCTTTGACATTACTTGGAAGCGAAAAGGATCGGATCCAGAAGTAAGACAGCCGCTTCAATAATCCCTCAATCGCTGCAATTTAACAATTCAGATCTGAAGGCACAGACCGTGGGATCATTCCATCACCGAGTACCTTATTATCGGTTTTTCTAAATTCATTTTCGCTTAATGAGGAGTCGATAGAAACCAAATTTCAAAACCCTACTTTGGTGTGATTTAAGTCTACACAATTCAATTTCTGGACACTAGTTGCTCGTCCATTCAATAGATATTTCCAATAGACATGGTGAATTATATTTATCTGAAATCGGCGGATATAACAGCTTTCAAGAACTCTACGACATAGCGCATCTTGCAAAACCTTGTGAAGGCTGATAATGTGGTTGGATGACGTGCAAGTCTATGTCATCAAACAAGACTGCGACAACGTATGTGGAAGAACAAATGGATTAGATAAGACATAATATTCCGCATAAGTGAGCGGAAAAAAACAAAGTGGCGTACAGAGTGGAACACGCAACAAAAGACGTGGTCACTTTTGGGAGGTGGAATAGGGTCTTTGCATTGATTTCGATACAGATTGCACACAGCGGACGACGGCCTGTACGAGACGGGCCTTGAAAGTGGCCATGGTTGCATGCGTGTTCATGATCTACAGAGAAAATCTGTTTTTCGGACGAGTTTGTTCAACGACAAAAGACCGATATCAGTGTACGGGTGACGTCCTTGATATAATTGAACGGTGAACTTCGACTCTTAGGGATGCCTCTTCGATAAGACTAAAAGTAGAAGGAAGATGAAGCATGTGTAGGTGTAGTTATTTGGAAATGCGGTTCTACATTCGGTGTATACAAGCGTTGGTGCACGGGAAGTTTTGAAACAAAGTCTTTTATTGCCAACTCTTGTTCTCATATGTTCATATTCTATTGATGTAAATCTCGGTCTCAGGTAAGGTCTGCAAAAACTACGTTGTACGTTTTAACTGTTTGCAATCGTTACAACTCCAACCTTTACAATTAACACATTTTAAACGAATCTTCCATCTTTAGTACCTATGGCTCTATAAACTACGAAGAGGTAAGGTCGTAGGTACCCAAGCTGTATAACAAGAAAAAACTAGCATACCACTCGGTATTTCGCCTGGAACAAGGGAAATAAAGTTCTGCGTGGTTTCCCGTGTCTGCTGAACATCCTTGTCGGTTGTAGATGTCGAGACCTGTAGTCCTGAGGAGTTGCCAGGTAGAAGCGTCATACACCGTCGATGTGGTGCAGTGGTCGGAGGCGCCCTGCAACACACATGGGATCGATTCCCACGCCCATCCCTCCGAGGTTGGCAATTCGGTGCCAGACTTGTCTGGGAGGGTAGCAGCACTGCCTCGATACATCGGTAGGCCACCGCGAGTCATTGTAAGGTCAGATATGCATTCAGTCACCTCCGAACGACGCTTAATAAAGTCGAATGCATGACGCACCTCTCAGAGATTGATCAACGCCGAGAGCTCTATCCTTTTTTTTATCTCACCATTTTAGCACTGTTATATTCCTCTGATTCTGTTCAAAGAGTTACAGTTTTCACCTCCTCACTTTTGTTGGATAACCTGCTTATGAGATCGTTTGGTGTTATTGGTACATGTCCCAATCAGAACGCGCTACCATTGTCGAACAAGACCATCACCATGGACGACGATTGCGAAAGAAAGCAACGAATGGCATATGTGCTGAGGTCCGCACAGCTCGTGAAGACGGACCGTCCAAGTATGCAAGTATGTAAGTAAGTACCAATCAGATGAGCTTTCCTCCGGAGCAGGCCATGTGAAAAGTGTACTCATGTGGTATTAATCGAAGTCCAAGTGTTCCTTTAGCCGATAAATCGTTTGTAGGCTCTATCACTACCGTTGCAATCAAGCTTCCATGTTTGTCTATATCCCTACTCAGATGTCCTGAGTGTTGCTTTTGGTGCACAGCTTGAATGCCTTGGTCGTTGTTCGTTCTTCTTGACTGCTTGTTCGTGTTGTATGCAATCTGTATTGTCGGAATGCAACACTACATGTCACGACGGCAACAAAACGAATGTTGTTACCAATTCTCTAGATTCTCTGGCGTTTTCTACTGATGTGTTCGACAGTTTTGTCTGGCCTTGTACAACGTGGCATTGTCCTCGAAGTGGAGAAGAACCGACATCGTGAAGAAGGGGCGGTTTGACAAACCTTGGAACTCAAAGGAATGGCATTCATAGATCTGACACAAAGTACAAGAATTTCTTTTCGAACTAAACCCTTGATTATTGATTTTCCTCTCCTTGGTCAAACATCGTAACTCACAAAATGTGGGCGATCGAACATTGGAGATTTCGAAATATAACTCGCATATAATGCTGAGATATTTGCAAAACTCCGGACCGCAGGTGTATGGGGTGGGAAACGAACGCGCGCTATTGTTCTTTCCGGGGAGTGGCGCACTTCACCACCACACCATTCGGGTCCTTCGTTCCGGGTCCTTCGTTTTGCCTGTCTCTCGGCTAATTCTATTGATCTTTTGCCATCAGCAATCACCCGTCAACGGGATTAATCTGGGGAGCCCAAATCGGCATTGAACCCATTTAAGCTGAGGCTTAGTCAGAATCGCAATCTTAACCCTTTTATTTACAGTAAAATTTCCAGGAAAAAGGCAGTAACCCACCGCATACACCTGCGGCCCGGAGTTTTGCAAATATCTCAGCATTATATACGAGTTATATTTCGCAACATACTCTGCCATTAAGAAGAAAAAGACAGGAAATAAAAGGGTTGAGATTGGAGATTTCGTCGAGCAATACGCGAAGGTCTTTCGCAGTGTTGTCGTCAATGTGTGTGGTTGCTCCGTGCGCTTGGTCGTTACGACGTCACTGGCGGATTTCAATCTGCATTTTTAAAATGGGATATCTCAGCTCAGAATATTTATAATTAGTCTAGATTAAAACATTTAGGATCTACAAGTTTTTGCCGACAACATCTAGACTTAGTTGTAGCGGTGGCTTAAACTTCTGCACTTCTGGAGCCAATGAAGTTGCAGACAGTCCCCACCTCGGTTTGGTTGCTGACGCGTTTCTAGCACAGGAAGTTGCATGGATGTTTGAGGTGCTAGATGGCAGGTTGGGGATGCGGTGACTACAGTGGATGCGATAGAGTTTCGTGGCGGAGCTCGATCAACTCTTCCAACGGCGGTTGTACGTCGTGTGGCTGCGCGTTATCGTTGAAAAGGACCATTAGATTTGTACGACATCCATTCTCCGAAGTTCTTCTATTTTCGAGTTTTATTTAGATGTTCTGAAACAGTAGAGATGCTAATGCCGAGTTTTCTTGTATGTTCTTAAAAAGTTCTGGACTTATTTTCTTCCACCAAAGCTTTCAATTCCTCGTCGTCAGTAGCAGAAGCACGTCGGCAACCATCCTCACCTTCAACATCGAATTCGTCTAGAGGAAATTGTTTAGATTGACGTTGCATTATGGGCTCCTTAGCACTTCTTTGAACCCATATCCAATTGTTACAAGCCCTTTGTCCATCGAAATTGCCGTTTTGCCGTCTGAAATGCCAGTCCTTAAGGTTTTCGTAAGAAACTGTATTGGAATTATATTATACGGAGAGAAGCCCATAAAATCAGCTTTGGAAAAGTGTGAAAAGTACGGCTTTCGTAAAGAAAAACTAATGCTAAAATCAACCACAACAATGCTGAGATATTTGCAAAACCTGGACCACGGGACAGATCGAACCACGATTTTCCTTTCCGGGGCTCGCGTATTACTTACAGCGCTATGGAGGCTATTGCTTTCCGTTTCCATCAGTTAGCTTTCTAGTTAATGCTAAAATGTATACGAGGAAAATTGAATTGCAAACTCGACATTAGTTTTTGGACAACCTTATATTTTAGTTATATGAACCATAGCTGACCGCCAAGTACGATTCTTTTAAGTTGTCTTCGGCCGAAATAGTGGACTGGATAATAAAAGCCGATTTAGAGGACTGCGAGTGGTCCAGAAAGAACCAGATCTGAACGAGCGAAAAGCCTACAGCAGATTCCAATATGGACAAAATAATTTTACACATTTTCTAACGAGACGCAGTTTATTTAAGAAATAAAGCAACGAGAGTTTGTTGTAGCAAGTGATGGATGGCGTGGACAAACAAGATGTTTGCTGAGTTATCCTTAATACAATTAACAGAATATTAAGTGAAGAACCTTCCCAACGATTTACCGGCCCATCGTGGCTGAGAGATCTTCCTGGGTATCCTGCTGTGATGTACAGCAGAGGGATTCATCCCTCTGCCAGCGTCTCTCAAGCTGAGGAGTCTGGCGTTTCCATTAGGAAGTCCAGCTAAGAGTAAACCACTACCAGAATCAGTCACCGTCTTAGTATCAAATTACTCGCATGGTGGCGAATCTCCCTTTGATCCACAGTGTGGCGAATGCCTGTGGTGATGACGATCTGGGGTAGACTTTGGCTTGGCTGACCTCGGCGCTCCAGGTAACCACAATGTCTAAACCAGCAAAGCTCCGAGAGAGTGGAGAGTATGCTAAGGATCGCACAATCAGTGAGGACGGGCCATCCATGTATCCTAGTAGGTAAGTAAAGAACAGCCCGAATAAACACGGCTTAATACAAATTATCATATCGACATGGTTGATACTAGATGCAGTATCGCCAAAGCTCATGGTTTCGCTATGTTTCAGTGATCATTTCAACGATTTAATTTCTAGAATTTCACTCTTGTGCAGACCACTTTTGTCGGACGAATGCTGGCTACATTCAACGGCATCTATGGAGATACTGATATCTTAAATTCTTAACAGAGTTTGAGGTTGAAACTAGGGACGTATTCTCGTGCGTAAGACATTTGATCGGTGATTCGAACGTACCAGTTACTGACATATAAGCTCTCGTATAG